TTCCCAAGAACACTCCGATAGACATGGAGAAGTCGTTGCCGGCCGAGGTAGCGCTCTTGATTCCGAGGGCAGTGGCCACGCAGAAGGAGGCTGAGGAAGCCGAGAGGGCCGCGCTGGAGGCCATCCGCGGGGATTATAGGCTTCCGGATGTGGGTCAAGAGGACAGGGAGAAGGTCGACCCTTACACCGTGACGGACGAAGACTTGGCTGCGTCGGTAGACGCGTTGACTAGGAGGTTGAGCAACATGCCTGAGTGGTCGGGAAATATGATCGACCCTGTGAAGTCTGCTGAGCTGGTCGCGGCGAGATGGGGCGGAAAGGCGAGTTATGACAAGCCTGAGGCTCCTCTGACTGAGGCTGGGATGAAGAGTGCGTCATTGGAGGATCGTGCCTACGCACTATCGCAGCTGAATCAGATGGTGAACTTTCACAAGAAGCACCTCTGCTCTGGGCGAGGAGCGCCTCTGGTGAGTGCAGCTGCCCCTAGTGGACCCTTTGCTCCTGACCAGTTGGATGATAGCAGGAAGTTCAGGCCTAGTGGGGCGGCGAGCAAGATGACCTACAATCTTGTGATACTGGATGGGAAGGAGGATTATCTTGCCGATAGGCGAGAGATCAATCCAGAGTTAAGGGAAACGGGAGTTATCCCTGATGAGGCCGTCACTTGCCAGATTGTGGTTCCCTCGAAGACGAGGTTGGGTGAATACCTCCCGAACTACGAGGAGACCGTGGGCACTGTTGCAGGACGGGAGGCGGCGAAGGAGTTGATGAGACTGCTCTCGTGCGATTTCGACGGCTTGGTCATCAATTCAAAGAGAGTCTCGGAGTTATTCGAGGAACGTGTGCTGAAGGAGACCGGACGCGAGGCTGGAAACTGGGTGAAAAGTGACCAGGCCATCTGGTTCCTGAAGGAGATTTCGGGCATGGAGAACGCTGAGATGTCTTGGAAGTTCTTCATTCCGACGCTTAAAGCTTTCCCGATAGGGCAAGTGGAGGCGATGCTCATGGTCATGTACGACGGGGATGGCGTTCTCCTCAAGGAGAGCACCAGGTTGGTTGCCGTTAGGCACACGCGGATCGGACGCGACTTGAGTTACAGTGCCGTTAGGCACAGGTATACTCAGGAAGATGCACCTGGCGGATCTCTGATGTATGAGATGCATTGGAATGAACTCCCCATGGTGGGATACGTCATCATGAAGTTCTCGGACTTTCGGAAGGCGGTTCAGCTCCAAAGGGTGAGGCGAAATGGAAAGGCCATGATCGAGATATTGATCACGAGGCCCGATGTGTACGAGACCATTGGGGATGGTAGGCAGGATGAGGGCCTGATCCCACTTGTGGGAGCCATGGCGCCGGATGCTGAGGTATCGCCTTCGTGGTATGTCAGGGACAGGCTGCGGAACTACTCCGGTAGGTACGTGGTGGTAATGGTGGATCTTCGGGTGCACTGGTCCTTGGTTGGACCCGTGTTTTTGACGAGAAGGAAGACTCTTGCCGTTAGGAACGAGATCCACATGGGGGCTTGGAAGGCGGCGTATATGTACGATGATTACACGATAGTGTACCATCGGGCATGGGACTACGGTGACTTCACCCCCGTTAGGGGAGAGCACAGGCGATCACGGGAAGAGATCAGGCTGAATGTGACTGCCACGTTCTGCTTGAGGTGCGCAGAATTGATGCCGAATGGGATGCACTTGTGTCCCGGGTGCGCGCTCCCGGTCTTTTACCCGAACTTTATCCCCAACGCGGAGGAAAAGGACTTCGAAAGATGCCACATCGTGCCGGAATGGGTGAGGACCATGGGGCAGTTCAAGCCCAGGAGGATCCCCTCCGAAGTGGTCGGAGTCATCAAGAGGAATTTGATTTCCTATTCAATGGCATCCGATCTGAGGATGACGGTGCAGAGCGGCATCAGACTTCCCCCTTATCTTGGTGAAGACAAGGGAGGTGTCGATGCGGCGTGGGATGAGCTGGCGAAGGTGCTCTTCCAATTCTCCTATGTGTCCGGGATTTCGGCCTCGGATGCGTTTGTGGAGAAGTGGGTGGCGAAGCACCTGATCAAGACCAACCAAGTCGATAAATTTGAGTCGGTCACGGAGTACTTCCGGGCCAACCCAAGACACGCTGCTCAGTGGGGTAGGCGTATGACGACTTCCGTTAGGAAGTTCGCTCGTCATGACACGTACTTGTCATTCTATATTCCGATGGCATACGTGATTGGTTCTGCGGCTGGTCATCTGACCCCATTGTACCCGACCCATCGAAAGGACGTGGACATCCTGGAGAGTCATGCGTTGATTTCGCAGCTCAGGAAGTACATGGTATCGGAGACGGGGTACGATGAGAAGAAGAGGTTGAAGGAGGCGATAGCCAAGGTGCAGAAGGCGATCAGCGCCGGACAGTCGGAGCCTCCCGCACCCTTCCGTGACCCGTTCGTCTACGTTAGTGACGAAAGGGTGAGGACGGTTCTTGACGGTCGTCAACCCGAACCATTGAACGTGGACATCGAGGGACTCCAATCGGTGCATCATGCTGCGCCGGGTCCTGGTCCCAAGCAGGAGCCGGTCCCCAAGGGCGGAAAAGGAAAAGGGAAGAAGGGGGAAAAGGGCGGTAAGGGCGGTAGTCCTTCCGGCCCGCCACCAAAATCAGGTGAAGTGCCAGGTAAAGGATCCGGTAAGGGCGGTAGCCCATCCGTCCCAAAGGCGAAGGATGATGCTGGACCTGCTCCGATGGAGGTTGATACAGCAGCAGCTCAGCCGAAGAAGTCTTGGGCCGAGATGGTGGTTGAAGGGGCCAGGCCGAGTGCCAAGGCTAAAGTGACCCCGGTTCCTAAGGCCGAGCCGAAAGGGAAGGCTGCTTCAGCATCTGAGGCGAAGAGTGCTCCGGCTCCAAAAGCTGTGGCTAAGGAGACGAAGCAGGCCGAACCGAAGGTTGAGGTCAAGAAGGAGAAGACAGGCGGAGGTGACGCTCCCGGCGGTAGCCGCGGGTCGGCCGAAGGGCAGAAGAGAGAAAGGAAGTCCCGTTGGGATCCCGACGAGGCTGCGAAGGAGTCGACAAAGCGGGAGGCATCCACGAGGCCTGGCGACGTCGACAGCAGACCAGGTGCGGCAGCGAGAGAAGCTAGCGGGGATGATCTTCACTCCGCGCTTGGCAGATCTTCGGCAAAGGATGCGGTAGCGCCTTTGACGGCCTCCAAGGCGATGGCAAAGAAGCCTGAAGGCGGGGAGATCCGGCTGCAGTCTGCTGAGCGGGCTGCGGCGAGCCCGGTGGAGGGTCACTTCCTGGTACTGCCTGAGAGTTCGGTGGTGGACGCTTTCTTGTCGATCTCCACCAACAGAGTGCTGAACAAGCAGGTCAGGGAGTTCATCAGGAATGGTGAGGACGCGTCGGCACTGGAGGCTCTCAACCAGATCGTAACGAACTCTCGATCTGGGAGGAGGCGTAGGGAATCGGATGTTTCCCGTACTCCTTCTCGGAGGTCCGTTAGGACTGTGGACACCAGGGATTCCAGAGAGTCGAGGAGGCGCAGATACCGTCCGCGGCGCGAGGATGATCGCGACAAGAGGAGGGACGATGCTCGTGATCGTCGTGATGATGATTCACTCGATCGGGAGCGAGATCGAAGGCGAGATGATCGCAGGAGATCCGAAAGGGATCGTGATAGGGACCGTGCGCGGGGCGGACGTGACCGGAGGAGACGTGACGATAGCCGGTAGGCTGAGTCACGAGGATTGCGGCCGATAGGCTTGCGTCCATTCTCCAATGGTCGGCGCGGTGCGGAGGTGATGATGTTCCTCCCGAACCGCTGAGGCGCGGAGATCATGTCTCTCCCATACCGCTGCTGGGCTGCTGGACGTGTTCATCAGGAAGCAGTGTGAGTGAGAGGGAAAGCAAACTGATGGGGGGTTACTCCCGGGTTTGCGGAATTCAAGCATTTTTCAGGTACGCATGGTCAGGGGTACCTCTTGCCGTTAGGCGAGGGTACTAATGGACATACGTTATCTTTTATTTCATGGCTTCTGATAAGAATTAAACTTCTTGCATTGTTGATGCAAACAGTTGTGACCTAATGTCGTCATGTGGACTTTTCCACAAGGTTTGTTGGACAGCGTTACCCCGATTAATTCGGGGTGGTGGCGGGAATTTAATGCCCGGGATGTCGCGCAACTGCCTTTGTGGGTTTGCTCCACCGCTGACGGCGGTAGTGTCCAGCTGTTTGCGGACGCATGCGAGCAGTTAAATCCTATCAGTAAATGGCACGCTCCACCCGTCATATGACGGGCTCCTCGTGAGGGGGGTGTGATTAGCCATGGTTCATATCATCATCAGGGACGTCGCGTTAGTGACCGACCTGTGGTGTTTTGGCTCAAGTTTTGGGTTCCGTCGCGCCTCGAATGGGCGTCGCCGAACCCCTGCGTCGACCGACGGCATCTCGGGGGAGAAAGAGACCTCGGGCCGCCGCCAGGTTGGTAGGGACCAGTCGTGCGGCCTGTTGTCGACCAAGGTTGCGGGTTAACCCTTTTCTTGTTTGGTTTGTTTTCCTTTGGTTGTTGTTCTCTGGTGTGTGGGAAACCCTGATCTTTGGGACCGGGGATTGGTTTGCTTTTGGGGAACCTTTCTTTTGTGGCTTGTTTACCCCAACTTACCCATTGCCTGGGCACAGGCTCGTGCCCGAATCACAGGTTTTAAAGACATATTTTATCATTTTTCCGGGAGGCTTAAGCAAATGGCAGAGAAGCTCGGGTTTTTCCAGGCCCACGGCGATTTTTTGTTGGTGTCGCACATGTCGGGGTCAGGTCAAAGCCGAGAGGGTTCCTTTGGAACCTTTCCTGTGGGGTTTCTTTGGTGCATTTTGCTTGGATGTTAGGACGTGTTCTTTTGCCAACTGGTGGGTTTTCCGTAAGCCACTAAAATTTATTCACTTTTAGCAGGGGAGCAGAAAGCAACTGAGGTTTGGGGGGGGCTTACATGGGCGTGTTTTTTTTCGAGCTGAGGAAGCACATCAGGCCAGTAATTCACCCTGAGACTGGCATGAAACTGGTGTCCTTCGGCTTTGTGGGACATGCGGCGGTGATGCGGGGCTCAATGGTCACTGGGGTCATGTCGCAGCTGCTTCACTCTTGGATCAGGTTTTCAGTGGTTTGTTCTCTTTTTGTTTGTTTTTGGTGTTCTGTTCACTTTTAGGGCTGCGAAAGTACCCGTCATTTTTTGTGGCTTGTGTTTTAGCGTTCTTTTTTGTTCATTTTTAGGGCTGCGAAAATTAACAGTCCTTTTTTGTGGCTCGCAGTTTTAGCTAGCTGGCTTGAGGCTGGTCAACCAGACGGACTGGGGGGAGCTGGACTACCTGATCCTGGACATGCCCCCGGGCACGGGCGATATCCATCTGACCCTGTCGCAGGTGTGTCAGCCGCTCGGCTCTCGAGGGCGCTGGGCTTCAGCTTGAACCAGTGGCCCCGTAGGATGCCAAGGCTTCCATTTGCTGAAAGCAATATGTCTGATTTCTTCTTTTGTTCTAGAGGGAATCCAGCTCACTGGTGGACATGGCTTCTCATCTTTTCCAGGGGGCGACAAAGCAAATGGAGGTAAGGATGAACGAGGGGCTATTTTGCTCCCTGCGTAAAGTGTCCTTTGAGTTCTGCGGAATATTGTGACCGGTTTCATGTTTCTTAGGATCACCTGCGCGGTCATCGTCACCACGCCTCAGAAGCTGAGCGTCATCGACGTGGAGCGCGGCATCTCCATGTTCCTTCTCCAGAATTTGCTCCCCTTGTTCTTTTCTTTTTTTGGGGGGGTCCCCATGGGTTTCCACTATCCAATCAACAAATGTCTCTCTTTTGTTGCTGGGATTCCAACTGAAGGTTCAGCCAACTGAAAGTGCCTTCTGTGGCCGTGGTGCAGAACATGAGCTACATGTCCACCGACTCAGGCGGAGCACCGGATCAGTTTTTTTTTCAGGCCCAGCAATTGGTGCCCTTTCTCACCGTTTCTTTTTTAGGGGAGGGTTCTTATAAAAAAACAAATCGAGAAAACCGAAAAATTGAGCAGCCTAAAAAACATGTAGATCCCCGAGTAGTGCCCTTTTGAACCCTCTTTTTGGTTGGGAGGAAACCCCCCTACCAATAGAGACTACAGAAAAAAAGAAACGGTACCAACTGATTCTAACCTCTGGAGGGCCTAGTCTCCAGGCCCAAAGCTTTCCCAAAATGATTTCCAGATCTCTAGCTTTAGCTGAGTTGCCCAAAGCGAATCGACCGGCTCTGACCTTTTGGTTTTCCCGATTTGGGAACCATTTTGAGTCACCCCAAAAGGTGATCACCTTTTGGTTCCAGGTCCCCAAAGGGCTGAGGTGCAAAGCTTTCTTTTGTGGACCAGTCCAGCGAAAAAGGGTTTCCTCGCGTCTTTGAAGTCCAAGTTGGAGACGAGCGGAAATTCGCCGCCAGGGCGGCAGTACATCTTCGGGAAGACTGACGCGGGCTACGCCATTGCCGACACCTTCGGCATAGAGCAGGCGAGCGGATTTGGCTGTGGTTGTCAAAACCGTTTTGGGATCCCATTTTGGTTGGTAGGTGAATGCACCACCCATTTTAGAACCTATTTTAGTGGGGATTGGGGTACGATTTGGATTTTGACCCATGGCCATTTGAGAAGTCTGCGGAGGTAATGTTGACCCAGGATCTAAGTAAAACCCGTGCCACTAGGGGAATCCGTTCCCTCCAAAAGTGGTCTGAATCCCAACTAAAAGGAATTGGACGCACCCCGATCAAAATCAACCAGGGGTTTATTAATCCGGGGTCTTCTTTTTTGGTAGGCTTGGACCGCGATGTTGCTTGAAGCATGTCGTTGAAATAACCCCCCAGGTTGGTTGGTTGGTTTCTTTGTACCTTTTTCAGAGTTGGTTTTGGTAGGGTGAGTGGGTGGGCCGTTCAATGTTCGAGGGTTCTTCACTGTTGGCAAATTGTGTTTGTTTTTGTTGGTTCTGTTCATTTTTTAGTAGGGGGCTGTAAAAAAAGCACAAAGCTTTTTAGTACCATATCAAAGGTTGTAAAGGGTTCTGAAGAATCCAACTGGCGCATTTTGGGCAGTGTATGTCGGTCGTGACACCAAAGTGGTGGGAAAAAGCGAGCGGGACCCAGTGGACCTCTCTTTCCTTGTGGCGCGGCATTTAGGACTTTCACCGAGGAAATTAGAGTGTTTCAGGCACCCGCGCTTCTTGAATACATTAATGTTGACCCAGGATCTATGTAGAACCCGTCCCATTATTAGGGGGTGATGAACCCCTCCAAAAGTGGTCTGAATCTCCACTAAAGGGAGTTGGACACCCCCCGATCAAAATCAACCAGGGGTTCTACTTAGATCCGGGGTCAACATTCGCATGGAGTTCTGTTCATGGTGGTTCTGTTCATTTTTACTGGGGGTCTTCAATAAACAGTCAGTTTTTTGCTACCATACCAAGAGTAGAGGTGATTGGCATGGAGTAATAAGATTTGTGGACGCCCTGTACCACCCCCCCTCCCTGTCCAAATGGACACCTGTCACTTGCTTGGTGCCCCGGGTTGCCTTGTGAGTGGGCAGGCGAGCGGGCAGGTTATCCCCGAGTTTGCATAAACACTCATGGGTATCATATATACATATATATATATATATGTGTGTGTAAGTATTATATGCATATATATATATATATGTGTATATATATATACATATCATGTTGTTGGTTTGTTTTTTTGGCGCGCAACCCATTTTATTGGTTGGGGGGCAACCCGTTCTATCGCATGATCCATGTCAAGTTGAGGTTCGCTCCGCAACACCTCAGTGTGTCCCAGGAATGATCTTGGGTGAATGTGAAGTGAAGCAGGGGTCCCCTCAAAGGTTCCCTCCTTCAGCAAGTAGAGTGGGAACTGGAACGAAAAACCCCTTAAACGCCAAGGAGCGCCAAAGTTGGTCACTGGGCCCCCTACTCACAGGGGCGATCGATTTGGTACGTCAGGCTCTGTGGCTCGTAAGCCTTGCTATACCTGACTTAGACTTCGCGGTTTTCTTTTGGCTTCCCTTAAACTCCACCTAGATTCCTTGTGGTGTCCCTTGAGTTTGTTTTGGTCGTCCTTTTGATTTTTCCCTTAGGCTTCCATTGGTTGATTCCTCTTCCATTCTTTTCAGCCATCGTTCTTTGCAAAAACCGATCGCCATTTCCAAGGTTTTGTTTTGATGGTTTTCTAGAAAGATCCGGATCCCTGGGCTCAGAATGGAAATGGAAGCTGCCCCTAGGCTGGTGAAATATCCGTCCGAGGGTTGGGGGGGTCCTCAGCCTTGGAAGGGCCGGCTTCTGTTTTTTTCTCTCCTTTTTCTTCTTCTTCTTGTTTCCCGTGTTTTTTTGTTGTTGTCCTGTTTTTAGTTTCTTGTTTTTTTCTCCCCGGTTTTGTTTTGTGGTCCCGTTTTTTTGTTGTTGTTGTTTTTTGTTTCCTTTTTTTCCCCGTTTTTGGTTTCATTTCCCCGTGTTTTTTCTGGTTTCTCCCGGCAGGTCTTCGAGCTGCCGCTGGAGGCCTCGGTGGCCCAGGCCGGGGACTCCGGGAACCCCTTCGGCAACCAGGGGGACAGCGAGTCCTCGAAGGCCGGAGGTCGGAAGTGGCGACGGAGGGACGTGGCGACGGCGGGACGTCGGAGGGTAGGTCCAGCAGCCAGGGCTGTCTCAAAATATTTTTTGGTTGGGAGTTTTTTTTTTTTTTTTGGGGGGGGGGGGGTAAAACTAAAATAGACTATACAGAAAAAGGTTGGTACCCTTAATCTACTGGAGGACCTAGATGGGGTCCTGGTAGATTCCTTTCTGGCGACCCATTAGGATTGGAGGGATCTGCCGGTAGATTCCTTTATGGCATACCCTCTCTCCCAACATGGCAGCTGACAAAACTCGAACGGTTGATTCCCCATTCTTTTCAACCATCGTTCTTTTCAATCGCCGGATCCGTTTTGCTGGGTTTCAAAGGAGGTTTTCTAGAACGATCCGGATCCCTGGAAAGAATGGAAATGGAAGGTAGCACTAGAAAAACAAGTGGTCTCTCCAAAAGTTTAAAAGGAAACTGATCTTCCCAAGTACTCGAGCCGGTTGAGATGTGGTTGGGTCTGACGGGACGTCGATTTGACGGTCTCCGGTGGATTTGTCGGCTACTTTTTGTTTCCCTTACCTCTTAAAATCACACAACTTTTCTCAACTTTTTGGGGGTAACATGGGCTATATGTCTGTAAAAGATGAAAACTTCCCCAATCCTTGGAGTTTTTAAGGGCTAAGTTCCGGTCGATTCCTTGGACTGGTTGGGACTTGGGACGCCGGGTCAAGGGAGGGAAGGGGGGGGGGGGGCACTCCTTGAGCTTCCATTTGAATGGGATTTGATGTGCAACGATTTGGCAGACTGGCAACAGGTTGGTCTGGCAACCACCGGCTCTTTGGAAAACCTGATTCTCAGTTTGGGGTGCAAGAATTTATGTTTATTTTTTTGCTATGTGGGAACGGGTCTTTGGACTCGAAGGGGGGGTCAGCAGCAAGATTCGGACTGCAGCCGCCTGCCTTAGAGCATCCGGATGAGGCCTTTTTGGACCATTTTTAGCGAAGGTCCCCAGGGGTTAACCGTTGATTTCCATTTGGGAAGTCGCAGGTCCTGAAAGGGATGGTTCCCTAACAGGGGAGTCCTGATAAGCCCCTTGGGGAATTAACAAATAAATCATCACCTCGTTTTGCATTGGTTGAGTTTAGTCTCCTTTGGATGGGGTGATGTTTTGGGACGTGTAAGAACCGCCGTGAAATGGGGAGCCCCGATTGGTCAGTGGGTGTAAGTCCCACTGCAACACATTGAAGCACCCTTCTACAGTTTGCTCGTATGTGGGTGCTTCTTTAAACCATGATTGACTTCTCTTTAAAGGAAGCGATCACAAGATGAGGAATTGTTCTTTTTATCCAGCCCTATCTCGAGGTGGGCAAAAGGGAAATTTCGAGAACCACTTCGAGACCCCGCACTTGGATGCCCAAGTTAGTAATGTTGAAACCAGTTTATTTATAAGGGGGTTGCTTCTTCCGTGGTGAAATGCGGGGAACCAGACCAGTTTTGGAGGGGGCCACACCCCTATCAGTAAACTGGGTTGATTAATATGGGGTCATTATTAAGTGGACAGGTGCTTGGGTTATACCCCAGTTGGATAACATACGTATGGTTACGCCCAGTGAACGGGAGCCTTGAAAAGGCGAGCCAACTTGGAACAGACAGATCCCTGCAGGAGATGGACAAACTTGCGGACTCCGTGGTCCAAGAGGTCCAGAAGATCCATGAAAACCGACAGCCGCCAAGGCTTTTTTGGGATGCCCAGCAGAAGGCAGGCGGATCGGGGCCGCCTGGTTGTTATGAAGTCCACGAGCCCACAAAGGTTGAACATTCCTTTTCACATGCCTGACAGGGAATCGGTCCCTTTCACCGGAAAATGGTCCAAACCAGGGACCCCCTGTCAGGTTCCATGTCAATTGGTAGGAGGGTACTTTTTTTGCGAGGCTTAGGCAAAGGTCAGTCAGCAATTATTCACCCATCTTCTTGTCCAGAGGGAAACCAAACTGATCCGTGCTGGAGTGCCCATTTCCTCTAGGGAAATGTCGCTGTTGTTGGCATGTTTTGTTGGTTGTGCTCATGTTTCGTTGGGCCAACGTCCATGTTCTGGAATTTGCAAAGCAAGGCGCACTGCCACCAAACAAATAATGTCAGGCACGGGCCAGACATGCTACGCAATGGGGTTTTTCCAGTGACTCGGGCGCTGTTCTCACTTCAAAGTTAGGGATCCATACCCTGCAAAGAACAAGGCGCCGACTGAGTCAAATGAAATGGCGCCAGAGGCTCACGAGCCAAATCTCACAATAGCGGCGAGTTGGACAGAGACACCGAGTGAAAATTGGAGTGGTTAGATTGCGTGTGGACTTTTTGGGTGAACGCTGAGAGGGAGATTGTGGAAAGACCAACGAACCTCCTAGAGAGGAATGGGCATCGAGGATTCCTGATTTTCAGGGCTTCATGCCATGAGCCGTCGGGCGTTGGCATGCGAGCGCCCGGCTTAATTTGGAACATGTTACCAGAGAGTTATGCACACCCCTATTCGTTGGCTGCAAAAAAGCAGTTGTGTTTTTTGGTTCGTTTCTATCATACCAAGGTGTGGAAAGAAACACTGGTCAGAGGGATTTCTTGAGTCATTCGACTCATTGAAAGCGTAGGGTCCGTGAAATGGGGGCGCAACACAACACCCAGCAAGGTGAACCCATGCTTTCCCATTCTTAATGGGGAGGGCTGACCCAAAAGTAAGAACCAGGGGTGAAGCCCCATGTCAAGTAACCGGCTGGATGAACCGGGGATTTGATTTCCTGCTTCTTGTCCAGAGAGAAGTTGAGAAACTACCACCAACTTGGTCCGACCGGGCTCCAAACCACCCTTTTTAGAGGGAAGCTGACTCCATAGGTGTCCTTTTTGGTTGTTTTGGTCGAAACATTGATGGGTTTCTTTGGTTTCCCTGTAGGGTTTAATCATCCACCAGGGAAACCCATCTGTTTTCCCCAAAAGGACACCTGCGGCCCATCATTTTCCCATTGGCCTGCGGCGCGCGAGGTCTTGCGGCTGCAGTTGCCGGAGGGTAAGGAGCTGGGCATCGACCCCGTAGAGCTCCGCCTGAGGCGCGTTTGGCGCTTTTTGGTCGGGCGCTATGGGCGTAAAGCGGCGAATCCATGTTTTCCAAGTTTGGTTCCTTTGGTCATGGCCCCAAAAGGTACCCTCCCACCTAACATGCGGAAGTGCACAGACCCCTGTAGAAAGACTACTTTCCTCTCGGAAAGGGCCTTTTTGCACAAACCCCCTTTTGTTTCTGGGTCCTTTTAAAGTCGAGTCAAAGGATACACGTTGTGCAAATGAAGGTTTCCACCGAAGCCTGTCCCTTGACCCGTGCCCAAAAGGAGGGCCGATAAGCGGTTCCTTTCCTAGGTCCCCCAGTGCCCTTTTACCGTTTCTTTTTTGGGGGAGGAAACCCCCCTACTGAAATAGGGCCATGGGTCAAAAGCCCGTACCGCCAGTGAACATCCCAATCCCCACTAGAATAGACTAAAATGGGTTGGTGCACCTACCCCAAAATGGTACCATTGGTTTTGACCCACAGCCAGATTACAGTAACAAGTTGGTACCCTTATTTCAACCTCTCAAATCTGGAGGATCAAAGCCGCACCCCAAAAGCTATCATGTTGTTTCATTGGTTGGGAACTTCTCAAAGAAAAAGATGGTGGACCCCCATGTGTAGCACTTATTGTACGAGTCACAGGCAGAGAACAGGTCGATTGATTGGGGGGTCCAGGCATGCAATTGAGGTCCACCAAAGCTGTTGCCCAAGTAGCCCGCATGCTCACGCCCTGAATTCTGGACGTTAGAAAAATGTAGTCACTTTTTGGTACAATTGTCTGTGGCAAACAGGCAGTTTGGACTTTCTCTGGCCAATCCACTCAGAAAGTGAGCATCTTCGCTGGACAGCCATTCAAAATATCAGCTTGGGCAGTCCCAACCTTGCGGGTTGACTAACCGAACCACTTGCTCAAAACCCCGGTTGGATTTGAAGGTTCTCAGTTGTTCAAAGACGACCTCTTGACCTTTTGGTTTTCCAATTTTGGTCTACTTTTAGTAGAGGTCCCAAAAGGTTAACCTTTTACTTCCTGGGTCCTTTGGGCGACTGAGTGAGGGTTGGCAAGGAGAGCAGTCCCAGCCAGAAATAGGTGCTGCCGCCTTTGAATTTCCTTACGCGGAGTTGGGTAGGCATTTGTAATGCCAGATTTTGATTGTGACTCAGGTCTTGGTCATACTGTGGACGTTTGCGAAATCCGTTCACACCACCTAAGAAACTATGGTTAAAGCCATTGTTTGCTGCGAGTTGCCGGGGAATCGGATCATTCCAGGGGTTGTTTGGTGCAGATTTCGTCCATCGAAGAAGTTGTCCTTTAGGGAAATTGCCTCTGGGGTAGCAAGTGGGCATGTCACAGGATTGTTTTAGTGGGTGGCTGATTGCAATGTTTACACGTTCGCTTTGCCACTCTGATGGCAATGTTGGGCCCTGGTGGGAAGGCCTTCGTCATTCATCCGAAAGTTCTTGCATAGTAAGGATTGGTTTCTTCTAGAGAACTACCTTCTCGAGAACTGGACGGTTTGTGATTTTATGGTCAGCACCAATGACCCTTGGAGTTTATTGACAGCCAGGACGTTCTTGCAAAGCTAGACGTTAAATCAAACACAGCCAATGATGATGTCAGGTTTGTTTAGTGATGCGAGAGCAATGGCTTAGGCACCTTGGTAATAGTAGCTGAAAAAAGCTGCTGTTTACAGGATGTAGGCCCACGCCAAATTCTGGTGAGATGCGCGGCTTGGGGGGGTAACCTTGCCAGGGACAAAGGTGCGGGAGGCGTCACCCCTCCCGCGCCGGGCGTTTTCCCAGAAGAGATCGTGGACATGGGTGACTCGGAAGAGGGGTGGGGTGGGGTGGGGTGGGGTGGGGTGGGGTGGGGTGGGGTGGGGTGGGGTGGGGTGGGGTGGGGTGGGGTGGGGTGGGGTGGGGTGGGGTGGGGTGGGGTGGGGTGGTGGGGTGGGGTGGGGTGGGGTGGGGTGGGGTGGTGGGGTGGGGTGGGGTGGGGTGGGGTGGGGTGTTCAGCGTTGGGCGAAACGGCTATTTCGGCTTGACTATGAAACAGACATGTTCTATTGTTGACTGCATGATCTCAGTCATTGGCAATCTCGTTAATTAGCAACGAATGAAACAGAATATGTTTTTCTACCCTAGATCGCCAATGTTTGGCGACCGAGACGGGTGCAAAACGAGCGAACGCCAGGCGCCCTTCGCTTGGGGATCCGATTCTAATTTCAGGGCGTTCGATGGTTTGCAAAGGTGCACAACCTTGTTTTTTTTTCAGCAACTAGCCCTGGAGCCGCCAACGGCAATCGAGTTAGGATTGGTGGTTGCGGATTGAAACCCCAGTGTGTTGTGAAAGCAACTGATGAGGAATTTACCCACCGCCTAGCCTCCAAACCACGAATTCAATCCGCCAATTCAGGGCAATCTGAGTGGTTGCCTGGAGAAGTTTTTGTCGCGCTGCAGCTTGCGCCCAGGAAAATCCCCACGGCGTTAAACATGGAATTGGGGGAGGGGGGTAACCCCTGGAGATCTCCATTTCTGGTTCCATTTCTGGAATTTTATTGGGAAGACCAGCTAAATGGAATTGTGGGCCCGGGTCCCACCCCCCCCCTCCCCCATACAGCAGCAAATGCTGCAAGTAAACCAAAATACCCTAAATACTGCAAGTAAGCCAACCACAAACCATGCAAATTTATAGGGTTTCCCAGTGATCCCTAGCTGCAATTGTTTGGGGCGCCCTGCAGCTTGCGCCCAGGAAACTATGCCGTGGTCATCAAGTGGTCCGACGGCGTCGTTCAAGTGGCCCCCCACAAGCAGCTCATCGAGGGAGATGAGAAGGGGCCCATGCAGTACGTCGAGCTCTCCGTCGCATGAGGTCTACCGTCGGCGCTTGCGACCGACACAGCGCAGATTTGGGTTTTCTCAGTTGGCCAACTAGGTCCCCTAGTAGTGCCCGTCTACTTGTTTTTGGAGGGAGGGTTCCCCTACTAAAATAGACTACAGAAAAAGGGTAGACCTTTTGGTTGTCCCAATGTCGGGTTCCTATTTTTAGTCATGGCCCCAAAAGGCATCTTTGGGTTTCCAAACTGGGCAACTGAGTTTTACGGCCGCTGATTAATTCACGGCGTGTTGGGAAAGCCGTGACAGGCCGAGTTTTCCGACAGCAGGAAATTGGAGGCCGCGTGCAACCCAGCCATGCGGGTGGCCCAAATCCAAGGATTCCCCCAGTTAGGGGCGAGGCTTTGACACAAGTGTTTAGTTCAGCTCCGTTCCTGCTAGAAGCACCATCCCAGCTGCGAACCACTGGGCTAGACACTCCCGTCACCGAGCGGGAAAGAACAAAAAGCTGCGGCTGGCTCTCTGGGAGGAGCTTCGGGAGGAGCTGTGGTTGAAGGGCCAAGGGTGGTTGTAGACGCTTTGTGGAGCTTCTCGCTTGGCTACTTGCCTTCTGTTGCATCTTTCGTTTTGCTCAGATTTGACTTTGGTGGCTGCAAAGAACACCGCTTTCTGCTAACAAATGCAGGCTTGGGAAGCTGACACTTGGTGACCAACACTGAGCCAAGCAGTTCATCCGTTTTGGGAAGGTTTTCCATGTTGCTCTGCAACCCTCCAGAAGGCTCCCTTGTGAGCATATCCCTCGCAGTGCCTAAGGCAGATCATCTGAAACGCCGCATCGGTTGGTTTGCCATGCGTTGAACTTCATGTGAGTTTGTGTCTGTGTGTTCTTGGCATTCTGGGCACAAACTGACATGTAAGACGTTCTCTTCAAGCCCACCGGGCACTTGTTCTCTTGCTGGGCGCTTCGGTCGTGAAGATGTCTCAAACTTACTTGCCCAAAGCGAATCGACCTTTTGACCTATTAGTTTTCCGGTTTCGGGTTTGGTCTACTACGTTTAGTCATGACCCCAAAAGGTGATATCACTTCTTCTTTTTTTAAAAATTTCCAGGTCCCTAGAGGGCAAGTGAGTGAGGCCCTGAAACAAATCATAAAGTGGGGGAGGCATGTGATTCAGTGAGTGGTTCCATTGGGTCCTTGCGTTCGCGAAAGCAGTGGCTGACCTTCGGCACCGGATGGGCCCCCCGGCGCGCTGGAAGCTCGGGGACCACCACCTTTTGACCTTTGGTTTTCCCGGTTGTTGGGAACCATTCTGGACATGTTTGCTTCTTGCGGTTTGGTGGTTGGAATCCACCCACCAGATCTGCCAAAGTTTTAAAAAGTCTGTTGCTCCCCAAGCCCAACGTCAACCAAGACCAAGGGACAAAAAGGGGATTTGCCAGGGCATCTGGCAATTAATTGCTGCCCACGAGCTGGCAATTACATGAAAGTGGTGTGAGCTTTTTACTTACCTCTTAAAAACACAAATTTGTTCTCAACTTGTTGGGTAACATGGGCTATATGTCTGTAAAAGATGAGAACTTCCCCAATCCTTGGAGTTTTAAGGGGTAAGTTTAACGTCAACCAAGGGGTGTTGGTCCATTTGTCATGGCCCCCAAAGATGAGCTTCAGAACTGAGCCCTTTGGACCACTGAGAGCATGAAGCTTCAGGTCCTCCTGACCTTCGGGAAGAAAAGCAGGGGGCACCCCACCCGAAATTTTTGGAAGCTTTTTGGTGGCTTGCTTTTTTTTTCTCTCCGAATTGGACCAACAAGAAGTGAGACACTTCCTGCAGAGGGGTCAACCCATATTTCTAGACTTGTCGGTTTGTTTAGTTTTCTCCTCGTTGTTGTTTTTGTGTAAGCATATTTTCTCCTGGCCAAGTCCCAAAGAGCTCAGGCCTTCTTCCGGCCTTCTCGGCCTTTTCGGGACCTTTTCGTCCGGTCCTTTCGCCAGGCATGACCATGAACATGGACTGGAAGGAGCCCATGAGCCCTCAGGACCTCGATGCGCAGCGACGCGCCCGGGAGGCAAAGCGACCGCTTCTGAGGGAAGTCGTCTGGACTGCTGGGTTTCTGGGGGTGCCTTCCACTTCCATTCCAAGCCCAGGGGGGGGACAAGGGGCCCAAATCCAAACCAAGCAATCCAAACCACCCTTTTCTGGCTATACAAAAACCAGCGGTTCTTATCCAAATCCAAACCCGCCAATCCAAGCCACTAAGAAGACAAAGGAGGCAATACTTGACTGCGGATCGGTTGGATCGTTGGACTTCGACTTGTTGGGAGAATTGGATTGGGATTTCCAAACTAAACCCACAAAAAGTGAAAAACTGGACTTTTTCGGGAAATCAAGAGGTTTCCAAACTAAACCCATAAAAAGTGAAAACAAAAACTTTTTGCAGAGGGCGCAACAGCAACCAAATAATTCTCTGGCTTGCTGAGGTGTAAAGTATGGACCCTTGGACCTGGTGCCGCCGATATATGCCACCTTTTACAATACTAAAAGGCCCCTACCTTTGACAACCATTTGCCGAAAAGAACATCCTATTTCATGGTTGCATGTTTCTAAGGGATGTTAGGACTTTTTTGGTTGGCCAACTGATGGGTTTTCCGTATTAAACCACGAAAAGTTCAACTTTCGGCAGGGGAGCAGAACGCAATTGAGTTATATTTGTCCCTGTTGGTCTTAAAGGGCACGTATCACTACTGGACATATTTTCCATTTTTTCCAGGGGGCGGCTTCAGCACATGGATGTTGTTGATTTCGGGCATCCGGGGACGGATGTTCATGCTGCGTCTGCTTTTTTTGGGCGGGCCCCCTGTTTGGTTGGATCTAACTGTAAGCCAAAAGGAAAACCGAAGCCATTTTTGGGGTCGGTCCTATTAAAAAGAGACACCATGTGTCAGAATTTTGAGTGGCTGGACCCTGACCTCAAATTTGGGGGAGACTTCTTGGGGGTTCCAACTCCTAAAGTTCATTTGCCCGTAGCGCGAATCGAGCTTTTTTCACCTTTTGGCTTCCCGGGTTTGGGTTCCCATTTTTAGTCATGACCCCAAAAAGGTTGGCACGTTACGTTCAGGTCGTTTGGGCGTTTGTGAGTTGGTGTTGTGCCCCATCAGTAACCCTGCATCGATTGGGGCGGGGAAAAAAGCAATGAGGCTATGGGGCATAACCTATGGCGATCCCATTTTGGGGTGGATGAACATCCATTTGCCACCTATTTTGATGTTTATCAGGGGTACTGGGTTTTGACCCACAGCCATGTAGCTCCACAAGGATCCCTTTGTTCAGGTTTTGGAATTGTAGAATTTGCAGATGCATTTCCGGTTGCCCATCCAAGCTGGTTGCAACGAGAGTTTTTTGGAGGATATTCAGCACTACCCCGAAATCACTACCCCACCGCCGACGGAAAAACTGATTGGGGAATGATGTATAACAGTGGGATCTTCATACACCCCACTACTCACCATCCAGCCGACCCCCACCCAAACCCACTGTGTCACTCACCGTTCAGCCTTCCGAGCCCAGACGGGTGGGAATGGCAGCGGAGCGAAGCATGTAAACACGGCGCACAAGTAGGGAACTGCGATTTGCTCCAGGGTTGTGGGATCAAGGGGTTTCTCCCCACTTCTGTGATACAAGGGAATCCCCTTTTATATGAACAAAATAGTCTTTGGGGTTCCGCCCTTTCTGTTATATCACAGAAGTGGATTCCATTCCCCACAGCCCTGAAATTTGCTCAGTTGTCCTTTTGACCTTTTACAGGGGTCCCTATATTTCCCTTTTTGGTGGATTTGAACATCACCTTTTTTGCCCATTTAAGGTGAGTTTCCCTTCATAAAGCTGATGTTTTGAGGGGAAATTTAGGGAGCCCTTGTTTCGTCACTCCAGGGGCCTGCGATGGCCCACGCCTGAGTCACTGAGGCGCTCTGGATTGGCAGCTTGGGTGGTTCGCAGACCCGATTTACAAAGGCGCCGGGGGGTGTGTATGGCTTTAGGCTCGGTTTCGGGTCGGTTTGGGGTGTCTTATCTTCCGGCTTTGCGGGAACTCGGGCCATTGGGAGTGGCTTGCGAGTTCTTTTTTTCGGAGCTCCGAACACGGGAGGTTTCTCGTTTGTTCGGCCGTCAGTTCATGGGCGGCTGGAAAACAGGTTGCATCCGAGTTCTTGGGCACCTGGGCAAATGAATGCCAAGCTGTGAGGGTGAACTGGCTGAACCTACTGTGGATGGTTGCGAAATCCATTTCGCACCAGTTTGAAACCAATGGAAGCCATGGTTTGTTGGTATTTACAGGGGAATCATCATAAACCAGGGTTTCTTGGGTGGTGCAGGATTTCGTCCATCCACAGTACATCCTAGCTGAATCAGATATAAATACGAACGCCCCCCCCAACTATACCTATGGATCAAAACCTCAGGTTCTAGCTTCTAACAGAGAAGGGACAGTTGTTTGCGAGATTGCCGGCTGGGTGCTAGGGAGCATGCAGCTTGATTTTGGGAGCTTCACTCTTCCGGAAACCGTGGATGTTGCATTGGACCTTGCAGAAAGTGAGACACTTTTTGCAGAGGGGTCAGCAACAAAATCGAGCTCGATCAGCCCCGTTTTGTGGGACCCACCCCCTTTGGGGGAGACAAGCTTATTTTTCCCGGGAACGAAGTCCGAGAGGCGACTATCCAGCGAGCATGCGGAAACGATGCGGCAGTCGGCTACCTGAGTTTACTGCAGAGGAGTGGGTGCATGCCGAGTCCAACATAGTTCGACACCGGCTCGAGCTGTTGCCTTTGACTGCTTCCATTTGTTTAAGAATACAGTTTTTGTCTTCTGTTTCTATCCTGTTGGTTTTAAAGGGATCTATCTACTGGACACATGTTTATACTTTTCCAAAAACTTAAACTAATGTAAGACTAAACTAGACGAATGACAATAATGATACGTGATTGCAAGTACCTAGATCCTACTTGCAGAGGTGAATTGTGAGGCAAAACCATGGCCATCCTGGTTTGCGGTTCCTTTTGACCAAACATTTGTGATTGCAAGCCCCTCATTCTCTTTGAATGATGCTGTGGCTTGCCCGGTGCTGCAGGGCGTTCCTTGAATCGAACCCTGTCACCTACCAACCTCGTTATAAAGATTTATGAAATGAAGCCCTCCGTCCTCCCACCGGCAGGGCGGGGTGGCTTACACATCCGTAGCCACTCGAGGTGTCCCCCAGAGAGATTCCCTAAATGGGACACCGCCAATCAACATCCAATAGCCCCAGTGGTTTATGAATCCGACTCCCAATGAACCCCGGAGTCGTGTTCAGAGGGGTGTTCCCGTTTGTAGGTGCCACACCCGATTTGGTCGGACGAATCGGTTCCCACTTGGCGGATTCGTCGCGGGGGTGCCAGGAGCGAGCGCTGGTACAGGGGTCCTCGGATTTCTTTGGGCTGAACCACTACTCCACGGACTTCGTGTCCGAGCGCCTCAGTCCCCAAAGAGCTTTTCTCACTTCCTGAGTTGGTGGACTTTAAACTTTTTGGAAAGACCATTTTAGTGGTAAATAAAAAGTTCAAACTTTGTTTGGCCAGTCAACTTGGGAAGTGAGCTTTTGGGGTGGAAGACACACAACAGTCTTGGGCAAATTCATACATCTTTTTTTGTGTCTATGGATTTCCCTATGTTGCGGATGAGATTCTCGTATCTGCTTTGGTTCATTTCAGCATTGCCCACATGGCAGGATGTGTTTCAATTTTGGCGGACACCCTATTCAACATGCGCGCGTTGTGTGGAAAACAAGCCTGTGCAGGTCCGTTTCCGGCAGCTCATTGTTTTGTTTTTAAGGTTTTAGGTTTGTTGGTTCCGTTCATGTTTAGTAATTAGAGGGCTGCAAAAATATTTGTTTGCACTGCCATAACGAGGGTTGGCAAGTTACGATCTCGCTTCATGTGTTTCCTTCTCCTCAGCGGAAGGCGGGTCCCTTCTTGCTGCGTTGTGGTTTGGCCCTCCATCCTCCGAAGAAATGCACGGAAAGGGAACGTGCCCCTGTGTTCTTTTTTAATTTATTTAATAAGTGGCTCTTCAGAATGGCTATTTGAAGTCGGTGAACCCTTTTCCACAAGGGAGGTATTCAATTAACATTCATAGAGAAGCATGAGAGATTCCAGATATACATGTTGGACTTCGGTGGAAAATCAATACTTATGACGATATAGCTCAGTTGTCCAAAGCAGATCGACCTTTTGAGCTTTTGGTTTCAATCTTGAGACGGCCCCAACAGCTAATCACCTTTTATCCCTGGGTCCCCAAGTAAGTGAGTTTAAGGATGCCACCCTAAGCTTCCATTTGCTGAAACTTGTTTTTTTTTCTCCCCTGTGGGGGCAACTGAATTTACGGCAAAGTGGGTATGGGTCCAAATTAAAGCACGAGGGGACCACAAATTTTCGTCCTTGTTTCCATTTACTAGGGTTCCAAAATGAATACCATGTTTTTTCCAAGGTCCCAACTATGTACCCCTGGGTAGGTGCCCCTGCAAAATACCACAGAAGCTTAAATACACTACGGGTACATGGTATATAGCCATCTTTTCCAGCGGGGTGCCAGGGGTACCTGCCCAGGAGTTTCGACCCCAAATTTTCACCCACGGCCAAGTTGTCTTAGGGAAGGCACCTCCGACGGCGAGAATTACTTTTCGGACCAGGCGGGGCTTGGGGACGCCCTGAGAGCTTTGCGGCCGGGCGCTGGGCGTTTTCTTGGAAGCTCCAACCGACACGCGTGGCTTCATTGTGTTTCGCGTTTTTAAGCATATCTCTAGGGGTTGACTCCTCTTCCATTGTTTTCAACCATCGTTCTTTCCAAAAACTGGCCGTTTTCCCTGGGTGTCCGGAGGTTTCTGGAAAGAAGGATCCCTGGAAAGAATGGTCAATGCATCCCTAGAATATCTTGTACTTTCCCTTGTTGGTTTCAAATGGAATCTATCACTATTGGAAATACGTTTTCATTGAACGATGCTATTTGCTTGAGAATGTCTTGTATTTTCCCTTGTTGGTGTATGGTGTTACAGGGAATCGATCACTACTGCAAACATGCTTTCATTTAACGAAGGCTGCCATTTGCTTAAGAATGTCTTGTATTTTCCCTTGTGGGTGTTACAGGGAATCGATCACTACTTGAAATATATGTTCATTTAACGAAAGCCGCCATTTAAGAATGTCTTGTGTTTTCCCTTGCGGTGTTAAAGGGAATCCATCACTACTGGAAATGTTTGTTTTTCCAGGGGGTGTACGCAAATGGAAGAAATTCACTCTCCCGGAGTTTTGTTTCGGGCTTTAGTCACTTCCTGGGCGGGTGGGAAATAAAGCGTTTGGAGACTTGTTTAGCTAATCCACTCAGGAAGTGAGTTAAAGAAAGCACGTTGCCGTGGAACCCACCAGAGAATTGGTCCCTTGTAAAGAAAAATGTACACATCGGGACTATCTATGACAAGCAACATGGTTTGTTTTGACGCCGCTCAAAAAAGAAACAGCCGGGACATTTGCCATGGCGAACATGCTGAATTTGCAGTGGCCCCAACATTGGTTGGGATGCCTTTGCCGCCAATCATAGGTGTCTGGATCTTATAGGGTCACCAGAGTACACTTGCAGGTCCACTTTCAAACTTCCAACGGGGGGTTGCAAGAATGGTGGACCCCTTTGGGGTAGTTCTGGTTGGTACCTACAGGCAAGCCAAAAGGAAACCAACCATGTTAGGGGAGAACGATTTTGACATACCCAAAATGGGAAACAAGCCGCTCACCGGGGTGAGGCAGTGAAAAACACCTCGGATCCGCGTTGGATGCTTGGCAGCAAGAGGGAGAGGAGCCCGAGCCGGCGCCAGCATGTGCGTGTGGTTTTGCTTGGATTTGGATGCGTCAAAGTGGCGCAACGGTTTTCCCTTTGTCCCTTTGAAGCCACAAAAAGTGGCTACCCGCCAAAAAAGGACAGACCCATCTTTTGCCATTCGGCATCTAGTTTGGGCAAGTCTCAGATATGAGCAACGGACAATCTTGCTGGTACTTAACTGTTGGCTTTGGGGATCGGGGGACGGCCCCAATTTGCAAACGCTTGGGGGAGAAATGTGGGTGTGTTTTCAGGGAACCCCCAAAATAGTTTTTCTTTTTGCTTTGGGTGTTCTTTTAGCCACAAAAAAAAGTACCCTCAAAACAAGACTCCCATACTGTGGATGGTTGGGATTTACAGGCAAATCATCATTCCAGAGATTCTTAAGTGGTGCGAAATGGATTTCGCAACCATCCACAGTATTATTCTAGGGGTGCCTTCCCGATTATTCTTTCAAAAAGACCACCCAAAACCCTGGGGAAACAGCTGGTTTTTGAAAATCATGATGGTTGAAAAGAAGGGGGGATCTGATGACCTATTAATATGGGGGTGTTCCCCTCTAAAAGTGATGATTCCCACATTTCACCCAGGGACACCCCCAGAATAAACAGGGGGAACATATTATTCTAGGTGAATTATAACGACCTCACACGACCTCACCCCAAATGCTGGTTTATGTGGGGAATGGCCTCCCAACCACCTTATTTCAGGTTGGTGAAATATTATAATTCACCCAGAAATTAATCCGGGGTCAACATATGACCCATGGCATCATGGGGGTCGGTGTGACATGGCCAGGCTGCGCACGGACATGGGCTGGGACGTGGTGCCCTGGGGCTTCGAGCGGCTGCTCACCTGGATCCACCAAACCTACGCCCCGCCGGGCGGCATCTTGGAATCTCGGACGGGAAAAACCGCCTTCGGGGGGGGGGGGGGGGTAAGGGGCCCGCGGTGAGGGGGAAGGGGAGAGGGGGAGAGGGGGAGAGGGGGGAGAGGGGAGAGAGGGGGTGAGGGGGGAAGAGGGGAAGAGGGTAAGGGGGAATTGGGTGAGGGGAAGGGGGGCCTGAATCTTCAGGGAACCTATGAGATGAGTATACGAAATGGGTGGCTCGTCTTTGTTTGAGGGTTCGCTTGCTTGGGGTTGTTTGAAGGCGTGTGTTTTTGTTTTTAGGGTGCCTCTTGTTTGGGGGTGTACCCTTTCTAGGTTGGCGTTAAAAGGGCAACGACACACCTCTCGCCGCTTTTGCATCGGATCCACAGGGGCATCAAATTGTCAAAAGGAAACTCTTGGCATGGCTGGTCTTTGGTGTGACCGAGTCGCCGCTTGAAAGGGAAGCTGAACGGAAACCAACCGTTTTGACGGTTTCCCTCATTTTCTTCCATTTGCTGGAGATTTGTTTGTTTTCCTCTGTTGGTTTTAAAGGGAATCTATCACTACTGGAAATACTTTCTTTTTCTCCAGGGGGCTTAAGCAAATGAAAGTTTTGAGACGGAGCGTGGGCGAAATGGAGTTGCTGCAGGGAAGCAAGCTGTAAGGCGAGTATCCTCGTGGTTGTCCTGCTACGGTTCATTTGGCGGGGATCTCACAAAAAATCGCACAAGAGTTCAACTCTCCCATGTCCTTGTCACGAAACAAGTAACTGGCTCATTAACTCATGGTTGCCCAGGTGCTAAATAGCGCATAATGTTCGCATGCGGAAGCCAACAAGTGGAAAAGGATTGTACGTGTATTTTTCTTCCAGATCCCCCCCCCCCATTTGGAACCCTGTTCATTGCCCCCCAACAAGAAGCCAGGAGGGGACGGTAACAGTTCTTTGAATTGTCCAGACCCCTTCTACGTTACCCGGATAGGCATCGACCTTGAGGCAGGGGTGGATGGGTGGTGAGAAAGCAAATGGGACGATTCCAATGCTTCCATGTGCTTAAGAATATGTGTCATTTTCCCTGTGGTGTTTAGGGTTTTGTGTTAATTAGTCATCCCCCTTACTTACCCACATCAGCTGCTTAGTCGCTTACGACCACAAACGTGTGGAACCTGCGCTTATGCCTTCGAACATTCAGCTTTTTTCTTCTGAATTCCGATTCTCCCTGCACAGCAGTCAAGCAGCCAAGCAAGCCAAAATGGAAACTGTGACAAAAGTAGTGGACGGACCGAACCCCATCTTCCAACTTAAGACGTCCCACTAAAAGCTCTAAACCCTTAAGCAATGGGTCAAGGGAACCATTTAAGGCTCGGGGGTGACCCTTGTACTTCCATTTATGTTGCATTCCCTTTTATGGGGAAGACTAGAAACATGGATGATGGAAAAGGAGGGCCTTACAATCACAGCGGGGCAACAAGTTGGGTGAGCCGAATGATGATACTCTCTATGAAGCTCTTTGGGTGATGTTCCATTTGGTGAAGAATATATATATATATATATATACACGGTTGTTTCTTCCCCCTGTTGGTTTTCAATGGAATCAATTTCACTACTGGAAATCACGAAAGCTAGCTTTAGCTAGCTGAAGTTTCTCCTTGCGTAAGCAAGGTAAGGGGCTCAAATGCCGAAAGATTGATTTTTTCAATTATTTGAGCCGAAAAGATTGAAAAACATCAATTATTTAGACCCCCCCCCCCCGGTCTCAGGCTCGATTCCTCCCTGGTCCATCCCCCCCCCCGGGCAGTGGCTCAGTGTTCAGCAGTCTCGGTTTGCCCGTTTTGGACTTGGTGCTACGAACTTTTACATGTTCCACCGATTCAGCTTGTTCATTTGAGACCTCAGTCTTCTCAGTAAACCACCTCGCAAGAATCTTTGCACACGCAGCATGCAGAACCCAGAGGTGCTTTAAGACAGCTTCTGACGCCTCTCGTTGTTTTCATTTTTCAAGGTTTGCCACGCCACCATGTGCGTTTGCGTGTCGCATCCTACGAATCTTGCCGGGCCTCTCGTTGTACACAAGCTACCCATGAATCCACTCTGTCACCGACCAATCTCATGCAACAACTGCCAGCTTTCGTTCACCCGCTCCTCAAGTATGTCCTCATTTTTTCCAGGAGACTTACGCAAATGGAAGAAACTCACTCACCCTTTGTTGGTTGGGAGGGTTCCCCTTCTAAAACAGACTACCGAAAAAAGTTGGTACCAACTTATTCTAACCTCTCAACTGGAGGACGAACCCAATGTCCTTTTACTTTCCTGTAATTAGAGGGGTGAGGGGGTGGATGCACCTCTCTACTGGAGGGGTGTGTGGATGGGGTGTGGTGTGGTGTGGAGGGTGTGGAGGGTGTGGAGGGGTGTGGTGTGGTGTGGAGGGTGTGGAGAGGGAATTGTGAGGTCTGGAGGACCTAGTTTTGGATCTCGATCAGCCAAGGTCACTGAGAATGGCTGCGCCATCCGTGAGACCTGCGAAGCAGATGCTCTCAACGTGGGGGGCCCCGGCCCCGGCCGACCTGGTCCCACCCCCCCCGTCCCGTCCCCCCACCCTCGTCCCCGTCCCCCGACCCTTGGTCCCACCAGCAGCTTGGAATACCCTCCCGCAAATTAACAAGTGAACCCAGCTTGGAATACCCTCCCGCGCTTTGGCCCTCCCCCCCAGTTGCTCAAAGCGAATCGACCGGCTCTGACCTTTTGGTTTTCCTTTTTTGGTCCACGTTTAGTCAAGTTCCCAAAAGGTGGTCACCTTTTTGTTCCAGGTCCTTTGGACGACTGAGAAAAACAAAAAAAACAACAAAAAAAAGCAATAACCCCCCCGACGCTCTCCCTAAGTTCCGTTTCGGACTTTAGTCAATTTTCGGGTCTGGACCATTTGTGTGGCAAAGAAACTTTTTAAACTTTGTTTGGTCCGTCCACTCAGGAAGTGAGCATTGTCGAGGGAGCCTTTTCTTGGGTGGTTTTGAATGGAAGGAACAAGGGACAAGCACAACTTCGGGTGTCCCAAATTCTGAGACACATTCATACTCCCCCGGTTTGTGTGGTTTAAGCATCACCTTTTGGGCCAATTCAACTTGATCTCCCGCCTTTTGGCGGGGTGGTGTTTAAAGGGGAATTTAGGGGAATTTAGGGACTCGCAATATCTCCCCTTCCATTTGCTGAACAATATTGTAATTTTCCCCTTTTGGTTTCAAAGGGAATCTATCACTACTGAACATATGTTCATTTGTACCAGGGGGCTTAAGCAAATGGAGGTCCCAGCACCAAAAAAAGTACTGCGAAACGAGACTACTCCAGAAACGAGACTACTTTGTATTTCGTATGGCGCTGCGGGGTTCACTTTATGTTAATTTGCCGGGGGGTATTCCAAGCTGCTGGGAGAAGTGAACTTGTGTGGAATCATCGCTGGGATGAGATTGCCATGATGTACTTCCTTTGCGTGGACACGTTTCTGATTAGCGTCGCTGCAAATCGATGCAACAGCGCTACTGCACCCACGTGGGTCAGCCCAAAGAACATGTTTATCTGCAAATTTAGATCATCTTCAGAAGCAAGTACGTTTTGGATGTGTCCTGCAACTTGGTGGTTCCGTTGCCAGCCATCCGGTTCCTTGGCTTTTTAGCTTTTTGGTTGGTTTAGTGGCTGGGCTTCCATTTGTAAGGGAACACTTTTTGGGATCGGGGAGCTTAGTTCCCCCCCACCCTCAACCCAAACCCCACATAAAGGGCTTACCATGGTCATAAGTCTTCGTTCAGCGGGTTACCCCCGCACCCCCCAACCCAAACCACTTAAACGGATTCAATGGGTTATTCCCAGGCTTACTACCCGCTTGCTGAGTATCCTGCCCCTTTAAGCACCTCCCCGCCCTCCTGCCGGGCACGGCATGCCCCTCCACGAACCCCTCTCCACGAACCCCTCCCCTTCCCCCAAGCACGGCCAAGAACCCCCCGCTCCCCCCGAGCACGGCGCCACTTACTCAGCGCTCTGCCCCTCCAAGAACCCCCCCCTCTCCCCCCTCCCTCCCCCCTCTCTCCCCCCCCTCCGGCAGGACACCTTCCGGGTGGAGTACCTGCAGGGCTATCTGGCGCAGATGCACAAGGCCATGGCCAACGGAGCGGATGTGCGGGGATACCTCGCCCCCCGACCAAATCGGGTCCCGGGTGGACCGATTTTCGGGAGGTGTGGATGTGCGGAGCTGAGGCTTATGTACTAGGTATCCCAGCTAGGTGCCGAATGATGATTCTCTCTGTGAAGCTCTTTGCGGTGCCCTTTCTCAGCCCTTTTTTGCTACTAAAATAGACTACAGGAAAAAGTTGGTACTGACCTCTCTAGTAGAGAACCTAGTGTAGCCCAGGGCTTCCGGCTATCATCTAGGAAGGTCTGGAAACAAATCTGCGGATGGATCACTAAATTCTTAAGTAGCTATCCAGAGATCCATACCTCTAGGTTTTACATGATGGCTTTCCTATGTTTCCTACTATAGTCTAGGTCCCCCAGTAGTGCCTTTTACCGTTTCTTTGGTTGGGAGGGTTCCCCTACTAAAATAGACTACAGAAAAGAAGGGTACCCTTATTCTAACCTCTCAACTGGAGGACCTAGTAGTGATAACTGGAAGCCCTGGGTAAGGCTGATTTGCTCCCCATAATCAACCCTATGTGTGGCTTAGCCTTTTTCGGGGTATGGAACAATGGGTCCGGTGACACAACCTTTGACTTCTGGAGAAAAAGAAATACCCTGCACATAGTGGCCATACTCACTTGCCCAAAGCGAATCGACCGATCGATCCGACCTTATGGCCTTTTGGCTTCACGCCCATCTTGGGTTCCCATTTTGAGTTGGCCCCAAAAGGTTGACCTTTTGCTTCTGGGTCCCTAAGGGGCAACTGAGTCTTGGTCTGCGGGTCTGGGCAATCAGGTAAAACACACTCAGTTTGGGGAGGGCGGGCGGGTTTTCAATCCCCGCCCCCGCAAACACGGATTGATGGGTGGATGGGTGGGACGGATGGCCGCATGGATGCCTCCATGCATGGTTCGGAGACGGTTGCAAGCGGGTGTTTGCCTGGCCCAGGCAGAACATGTTGTGTGGTGGTTCTTTTTGAGCTGATTTGAGCTGTGGCCCAAGGGTTATCAACTCCAACCAAATGCGATGCCTGCTGGATGGCCGCTTTTGAAGCAGCAGGAACGGGTGGTGTGCGACAGGTTGGTCTTGACAGGTGCTAGAGATGCCTTCCATCGGTGTGTGTGTGTCTGATCATCAGGGTTTGAGGATACGAAGCCGCCGTCGCCTGACCCCCGGCTGTTTCGAAGGATTCGAAGTTTTCGGCATGTGCGGTGGTGTTAACTCACTTCCTGAGTTCATGAACTTTAAACTTTTTGGGAAGACCATCTTAGTGGTAAATATAAAGTTTGGACTTTGTTTTGGGCCATCCACTCAGCAAGTGAGGTAAGGGCATCCTTTGTGCTGAATTTTGATCAGCACACCATTTGGGGCCACGGGTTTCCTATGGCCGACTTGCCGGCGAAGGTGTTTGGAGCCGCTTCCTAGGGTCTCCATGACCCTGAAGAAATGGGCCCCTGACCCCAAAAAAAAATTGGGCAAGGACCCACCATTTTTTTTAGGGTCCTTAGGGAGACTCCAGGTTTGGGCCCATAGCGAGTGCATTCGGAGGTCTCAGCTTTACTTTCGAGGTTTTCCCGTGAATCCGCCTTTTAGCTTGGTGGCTCCCAGCCATGCGGTTCCTTAGCTTTTTAGTGTTTAGTGTTTAGTGGTCGGATTTCCGAATTTAACCCACTAAAACTTAGACTTTTAGCGGGGGATCTGAGGACAGCCCTTTCAGATATTCATTTATTGTGGGGATGTCGCTTTAAACGACCCAGGCGTTGCCCTTTGCCAGGATCAGGAAAAGCAGCAGGCTGGCTCCAGTTTCGCGTGACTTGAGACCTGGCCGAGGTCTGGTCATTCATGGACAACTTCGAATGGGCTTTCGGCTTCTCGAAGCGGTTTGGTATCGTGCCTTTGGCTCTCCTGGCGGGGGAGGGGCCCTCACAAACGAAGATGTCACAGACAGAACGCAGCCTTCCCAGTCATGTCTTCACTTTCATCTGGTAATCAACGGTTCCGGGTTCCAGACAAATGAGTTCTCTTCGGATTCCCTTGGCACGTCTCCAAACAGGGTGCTTCAACAAAGCAGACATCCCATGTTTTCTCACAGCGCAAGCCCACCACGTTTGTTTGCAGAAGCTACTCGCCAAAATGTTGCCAACCAGGTAGCGGTCCCCAAACACCACTTCAACCTCCAACAGCTTTCCCTTACCTCCAAACTGGATCAACTGTGGGGAAGCCAAATTGGTTTCTTTTCTCTCCCTGAGTTCCTGGACTTTAGTGACTTTTTGGTCTGGACCATTTTAGTGGCTACAACCAGTGTTTTGTTGCCGATCCACTCACTTCCATTTTCTTAAGAATATATTGTGATTTTCCTTTTTGGGTTGTAAAAGGAAACTATCACTACTAGAAATATGTTTATTTTGTCCTGGGGGCCGAAGCCCAGGAAGGGAGTTTCAGAGATTTTCCTGCCTCCAAAAAAAGGACCAAAGCAAAGCACTGGGTTGAAAGGCAATCCTAAATAATCAGCTTGGTTTACGAACGTGGTTTGGGGGATAGATTGAATGGTGAAACCACTACAAACTCAAGGTGAGGATGTTTTCAAATGTAGTGGTTTTTAGGGACGGAACCTCAGATAGGCCGACACCCTGAAATGTGAGGCCCTTACAGCGCCCCCAAGTTGCAACCACTGGGATGCTCGTGCGTTTGGGCCGGTTTTGGAAAGGAACCTGCAGAAAGCTTCTCTCACGTCCTGAGTTCCTGCACTTTGAAGTTTTTGGGACGACTATTTTAGTGGCAGACAGAAAGTCTGGTCACTTTCTTTGGCCAGTCCACGCAGGGAGCAAATGGAACCAACCGCCTGTTGGAAAGCCCAAAACGGACGAAGTCCGCCGAGCGAAAACCCGAAAACATGCTCAGTGAATGAGAAATGGAATGAACCTGACCAAAAGTCTCCTCAAAGGAAGCCACCACTTGGATGGTTGAAAGTAAACTTTTTAGGGTTGAACACTTCCCTTAAAGGAAGCCACCAGTTGGATGTTTTTTCTTGTTTTCCTTTTTTTCTCGTGATCCACCCCCTTTTGACCTTTTGAACCACATTTTTCTTTGCGGAGCTTTTCTGAAGAGCCCAGCGAAGCTGAAGTGCCCCATTTCTCCTTCCCGGCCGGGGAAAGCACCCCCCCCACATTTCACCCAGGGAAAAGCACCCCCCCGATTTAAAGCCGGGAAACCCCCACGGAGCCGATTTCATCCCTCCCGAAGCCGCTCGCGCTCGAGCGCGCGAGCGCTCGAGGTGCGCGTGGACTTTGGGTCCCAGGAGCGCCTGGTGAAAGCCTCCGCGCGGCTGATGGAAAGCCTCGCGAAGGCGAGAGGAATCTTCTCCGGTTGGATGGGGCTCCGGTGGGCAAGCCCTTTTTTTTTCTTCAGCAGGGGGTGGTGTTTTTGTTGTTTCTTCTTCTTCTTCTTTTTGGTTTAATGTTACTTTTCTTTTTCTTTAACCACGAAACCACCAAGCAGGAGGAAGCTGATTAATGTTGGTCCCATATGGAGGTGCCTGTGAGTTTCCCGGTATATTTTTATATAATAGGGGTGCTTTTCCCTGGGTTTGGTGCCTGGACTTAGGGGTGTGTGTCAGTTTATTTAATGGGGGGAGTTTTCCCTGTTTTCCTTAACCACCAAACCACCAAGTAGGCGGAAGCTGGTTAATGTTGATTCCATATTAGTCAACCCTGGTATATTATAGGGGGGTGCTTTTCCCAGGGTGAAATGTGGGGACTCAGGCCACTTTTGGAGGGGCCAAAAACCACCCTACTAGCAACTCGGGGTTGACAACAAATTGGGGTCAACATTAACCCAGCCTTCCTTGGAATCCCCGGTCCTTGTAGAGTAAATGAAAAACCCCTCCTCAACCAAACCACCAAGCCAAATCGATCCACCCAAAAGTGGTTTGATTCCCCACTGAAGTTAGGACACCCCCTACTTAGTGCCACTCACCATGGCTATAAGTTCTTCTTCAGTGGGTTATTCCACCAGGCTTACCACCTACTAAGTACAATTCTAGGGGTACCTTCCCCATTCTTTCCAGGGATCCTTCTTTTCAGGAAACCGTCAAACACCCACAGAAAGCAGCCGGTTTTTGCAAAGAACGACGGTTGAAAAGAATGGAAGAGGAATCACCCCCTAGAAATATAAACGTGTCTGTTTTTGAGGGTACCCTTTTTGGTCGGTTCCATTTTTTGAGGGTACCCTTGTTGGTTGGTTTTGAAGGGAACCAAAAGGACACAAACCATTTCTTGGCCCCTAGAACAATGCCCCTTGCAGCAGATGGCATGTTGGGAAGGGCAAGGGGCTCGGAATCCTCGAGGAGAACAAGCTGAAGGTCCCTTCGCGCATCCACTCCGCCGCGGAGTTCACCCCGTGCCGGGCCTAGCGGGGCAAGTTCTGAGGGGAGTCCGTCCGCTTTCATTTGTTTGGGTGCTTGCTTAACGTGTTTTTTTTGTGTGTGTGTGTTTGTTTGTTTGTTCGTTTTTTGTTTGTTTTTTGTTTGCTTCTTTCGTCTTTGCTTTCTTTCTTTCCCTACGTTTTTTTGGTTGGGGGGGGCAGGGGGGGGAAACAGGGCTTGCCGCAGCGGGGGGTAAATGAAGGGTATATGTCCCCTTCCAAAGCTGCTACCCCAATTTTGTTTTTGGCCGCGTCCCAAGGCAGGCCATTGGATTTCATTGGTAGTAGGTCAGTTGTGGGCTACTTCAACCAGGCCTCGGGTATCGTTTTGCGCCGTCGAAACCAAAAGCTTTAGATTTCTCCTCAAAGCAGACTCCTCTAAGAGTTGACTCCCATTCTGTTCAACCCGTCGCACCCTCTACCCCCACTTCCCCAAAACAAGCCTTCCCTTCGCCAGTTTGAACACCACCTGTTGGTTTGTGGGGGCGCGTGTCAAGGTAGATTCCATTTGGTGGCGTCATGTCGAAGAAAATCTCGGCCCAGCCAATAATCGAGGTGAAGTTTGGCACCTTTAGGCTCAGCTTGCACGTCACGTGTCCCTTGCACATAGGAGACACCTGTGGCAATGAGCACCTAGGGGAACGCCTGGTGTTCAAACAGAACCATGAGGCTGGGCTATGGATCCTTAAATCCCCCCTAAGGCCCACACATTGCAGTGACCACTTGTGGGAGACAAATATGTTGTTTTATTTCCTCCCAAAAACTGGAGCACCCCGCAAGGACCACGGTCAGGGTTGTACTTTTGCGCTATTGTTTGTTATCCTTGCGTGTTGTTGTTAAACCCAGGGGTGATAGGTATTGTTTTTAGGGAAGCTCTCCTGCTGCAGTCCCACTTCGAGAACGCCCATTGAACCATCACCCTGCCGAACAGGTAACGGTTGTTTTTCCCCCCCCATTTCATCCTAAGGGCTCGTGTTTTTTTGGGAGACACATGTTGTTTGGTTTCCTCTCCCCTCCCCCCCCCAAAAAAAAAAAACAACAACAAAAAACTGGAGCACCCCCCAAGAGACAACGGTGGTTTCTCCATCCCCCATCCCAAGCATGACGAGACCGCTGGCCCTAGGTTCAACCGCCTGGAGGAGACGAAGCCGGAGAAGAAGGGCTCCCGGCCGCAACTCTCCAAGGAGGATGCCCGCCGCGCCTCGGCGGAAGCGGGTTTGTGGCAAGGGCCAGGGATGCCTCCATGACTTCCACGGGCTGAGAAATGTCTTTTCTTTTCTTTCTCGGAAAAATGTTTGTGTGTGTTTCTAAAAGAACACAAAAAAGAGCAAGACACATGAAGCAAACAAATAATTTTCCCTTGCTGAATAGAATCTGGTTATTGGAAGAGGGTACCCTGCTGAAGTTGAGATTATGTACTGTTTTTCTCGTTTTGATTTTAAAGGAAAACTACTTTACAACTGGACATGTGTTTGTTGTTTCCAGGCGGCGAAAACGGAGATGGACGATGAGGTGGCACTCCAATCGCTTTGAAGGTTGGGTTAGGGGGGGGAAGTCAAACCAGATATGGCCGTGGGTCAACACCTAAGGTACCAATTTGGGGTAGGTGCACCACCCATTTTAGAACCTATTTTATTTTAGTGGTTGGATTGGGATGTTCACTGGGGGTACGGGGTGTTGACCCATAGCCATATCACTTCCTGTTTGGAGGACTGGAGGACTTTGTCGGAAAGACCTTTTAGTGGCGAGCAAACCGTTTGGTCGCTTTTTTGGACTCAGGAAGTACTCAGTTGTTCAAAGCCGACCTTTTGACCTTTTGGTTTTCCCATTTTGGTCCATATTTAGTCATGGCCCTAAAAGGTTAACCTTTTTGTTCGAGGTCCTTTGGACAACTGAGAGTAAGAAGCCAAGGTGATAATTTGGACTCGCTTCGGCGTCAGTGTCATGTATGGGGATTTGGGGGCACCCTTCTTTGTCTTATGGGGAAAGGGACGCGTGTTGAAACCATAAACAGATCCAGGGCTGTTTCTAGCTGACACCTGAACCTTCCGTCAGCGAAACGTACGCCAAAGGTGGCCAAGGTGTTTTTTTGTTTTTGTTTTTTTCTCGGGTCATTGTCTCATGGCACCTGTGGGGATGTACCTGGAAGATCCATTTCCTGTTGAAGGGGTCGGGCCCCTGTCAGGTGCCATGGCAACGTGGGACGGAGGGTAGCCTGAATTAGCCCCACCCGAGGGTGCGAGTTGAACATGCTCTCTGCATTGACCCCCCTCGAGTCAGGCTTCGGCTACCGGAGTTCGAATCATCAACAAAAAGAGCGGTCCTTGGCCAGTCAAGCATCCACCCCCAAGGCTTTTTTTGTTTGAGCTTTATTTGCATTCTCAGGGCATTTGTTTTCCCCTTCGCATTCTCAGGGCAAGTTGGCATGCGCTTCATGTTTGGACGTCGCCAGGTTTCGAGTTTGAGCTGACCATAGCCTGGGCACCTGGAAACTCCAAGGGCGATCCTTGAAAACTCGTAGCTTCAGGCGGCCAATTCGCCAGGGGTACCTTCCCCATTCTTTCTGGGGATCCGGATCTTTCTGGACAACCTCCAGAATCCCAGGGAAAACAGATCCGGTTTTCATGAAAAGAACGATGGTTGAAAAGAATGGAAGAGGAATCAAGCCCTAGAAATATGGATGTGTCTGTTTTTGGGGGTACCCTTTTTGGTCGGTTCCAATTCTTGAGGGAATCAAGCCCCAGAACTGAATCTTGTACCGCACAACTTCAGTCACACTCTCCGCCGGCCCCCAGGAATGCTACGAGAGCAGCTTGGCAAAAGCGCTATCCGAGCGAGAGAAGGGGTGGGGGTGATCAGCGTGACCGGATTGATGGGATCCCCCATGGCGGGGCCGAGTCAAAGCATGCGCCTGGTGGCTTGACACATTTGATGTCAATCCCTGGACTTGCCTAAGTTGGGAGAACCATTTGTTTTGTTTTTTGCTGGCTACTGGCCAATCCACTGAAGTGAGTGAGTTGTGCACTCCTCGTTGGCAAGATGTTTTGCGGCCCTCTCTTTCCTGCAAGAGGGCCTCGCTTTTTAGTTAAATATCCCAATGAAGCACGTGGCCACTACCCAATGTGAACACCGTATTTTTGTTAATAAACAAGTAAAATAATGAAACACAGAAGAAAAATAACGTGGCAACCAAAGTCACGTTTGTGCCGGCCGGTTTGCCGAGGTTCTGCGAGAAATACCAGGACTGGAAAGTGGCTCCGGGAAAGATGGGTGTGTCTTTTGCACCCTCTTTTGTTCGGTTGGTGTTCAAGGAAAACCCATAGGTGTCCCCGACTGTTTTGACAAGCCCTGTGTGTGTGTGTGAAACCAGGGGAGTTCACTTTGGCATCTCAGAAATAGCTCTGGCTGGCTTCCCGTGAGATCCCGTGAGCACGTTGGAAAGTCTTTCGGCAGGGACTCCCTTTTCGGGCATTTTGAGTACCCTCCCACTCTTTTCACATGGAACTTGACAGGGAATTGGTCCCTTTCAAAGGAACATTGTCTTCCACCCGGACCCCGAACGTCAGGTTCCATGTTAGTTGGTGGGAGCGTAGTTTTGAAAAGAACGGACCAGAATCGGTCATCCATCGTACCCCATTCATCATCGTCGTCATTCGTCATCCTCATCATCGTTATCGTCCCGTTCAGCTGCATCATCATCATCATCATCATCATCATTATTATCATCATCTTCTCACCTCTCAGCTGGAGGACCTAGAAGTTGTTTTGGGTTGTTGGGCTCACTTTAAAAAAATCGGGGGCTGAACAGAATCCACCTTTCTTCTGCTACTATACGGGGCATAAAGGGAACCTCCCTTTGCCTGAAAGGAAATCGAACAGTGCGAAGGGCAGCGTCCCTTTTTCAGGAGCTCCCGGAGTTTGAGCCACCCAAGCTATTCGACACAGCCTGATGTTCATCAAGTTATCTTAAAGCTGATTGATGTGTGCGTGTCTGCGCGCGTGCGTGTGGGAGTTTTGAAGATGCGCCTTCTTCACCTTGCTAAACGGGAAATCAAAGGAAGCCTTACCGGGTCTGAATCCCCATTTTGACACACACCATGTCAGTTGGCCTTACCTCGGCAGGATGACACGTTCCAGGGCAAGATGGCGGCTTGCCTGCATGACTCCACTGCTTGAGTTGAAACCCAACGACCACGAATTCCATGTAGCACGTCCCTCGGTTTTTGGGTTTCTCAGGGTTTCCTCGATTTCCCTTCAAAGAGTGGGTTGACACATCACCTTTTGGGCTGGAGTGCGGCTATGAGGGCCCCTGTGTTTGCTGCTTTTGCCCTTTCTCTTTATGTGAGGATCCTCTTGATGGGGGGATGTTTTAAGGGGCTTTGTTGGGAGCCCCGTGGTGTTCCTTTTCAGTTTTGCCACGAACATGGACACCAACTCCTCAGAAGACATCCTTCTGGGCTCCTGTTTTGGGGCTCGATGCCCCTAGTTTTAAAGACAACGCCACATGCTTCTGACCCCGGACTTGCAAACCACTCGAGCTGGCGAGCTTTCAGGTTCGAATTCCATTTCGACTGCAACCTCCACACCGCTTTCAGCTGATCAGTTTTTCCCTTTTGTTCACGAACATGGAACCCGACTGCGGGCACCAGGATGATGTTCACCTGTGGGTTTTTAAAGAGAATCTATCTTCTGGAAAAATATGTCTTTTGTCCAGGGGCTTAAAGCTTTCCCTTGAAAGATTCCCTTTGTTGGGTTTCATGTGGACTGGAGGGTAGCTTTTCCAAGGCCGAGCATCAACCTCCCGGATTGCCTGTCCACTTTCACGACTTTGGGAAAGATGTACTTGCCTGCAAATTAAGATTGAGCCGAAAAAGGGGTCTAAAAGGAGATTTCTCCAGAAATTGCCAGGTAGTACTTTTGTTTTTGGATCCTGGCCAGTGAGTTGAAGGTCAACTGCTACCAGCAGTTCATGATCCACAATGATGAGACTTGGCTCCGATATGGCTCCGATCAAGGCGAGCCAAGTCCAATCAATTCCCAACCCTCCCAAGCCCTGAAGAATCCGCTGCTCCTCGAAGTTGGTCCACCATAGCGCAAAAAAAGCGGCACAACCAGTTCACCAGGGCAACACATGGTTGTTGTTGGGAAACATTTTCTCCATTTTTGCCGTACCTTCGGATCGTCAGCTTCCACGATGACTTGAGCGAGTTTCTGGTTCTTTTGATTGCATGATCGCCAAGGTCTTTTCTTGGTGGCTCCCAGCCATCCCCTTAGCCTTTTAGCTTTTTAGTGTTTCGTGGGAGTTTCCATTTAATCTACTAAAAGTTAAACTTTTAGCCGGGGATCTGAGGATGGCCCAGATTTGATTGCACAAGCTGAGAGGTTTCTTGCAGACATGGGGCTTGGCATTGCTTTTATTTGTGAAAAATCATTCCCACGGAGCGCGACGTGCAAGCCGGTGCATGCTGTGAGTTTTGGGCCGACAGCGTGCCCTATGGGCGGCATAGCCCATGCCAGATTAAGCTTGCTTTTTAAGTTGTTCCCCCTTTTTTGTCCAGGTCCTCCAGTAGTGCCCTTTTACACTTTTTTTGGGGAGGGCTCCCCTACTAAAAATAGACTACAGAAAAAAAGGGTACCGTTATTCTAACCTCTCACTGGAGGACCTAGTTGTGTAAACAGCAAGCAGTTCACATGTTGCAGGGGGTCTGCGGTCTGCGTCAAGCCTTGGGTGAGTTCGGCGCCGTACTGGCCAGCCCTGGAAACCATGTTGGAAGAACATGCAAGGAGGGTAATTGGGAAGCCCTTCCTTAACCACCAAACCGCCACCAAGTGGAGGGAAGCTGAGACATGCGGCACGTTTCAACAGAAGCTGTGGAACGTTTTTGCTCAACATGTGCAAGTGAAAAAGCCCAAAGTGTGTACCCTCTTTCGAAAAGCCCTTTTGGCGGCGCAAGACTGATGGATGGAACTTCTTGACGACACAAGCACCAAAATACACGTCCCAGGCAAACATCGGCAAACATCTCATCACACTGAGAAGTAGCTCCTTTCTGCATTTTGTTCGCACTTTCGCTGGATATGAAGTAGGACTGCTGCCGAACTAGTCTGAGAAAAACACAAACCACACATATCCGAAATAGGTTCACGAATGGCACGTTGCCCGTCATTTGTACCCAGGTTCTTACATTTCCTCTGTTTGAACCGTCTAACATTTTCAGTTTCATTCTGCGGCGCAGAATTAGCGCTCCTTTCGGATTGTTTTGATTTTTGTGGGGTCCCCTTTGTTTTCCACCAACTGCTAAGTAAGATGGCTATGGGTCAAAATTAAACCACCAGAACACCGCAGGTTTTAGTCCATGTGTCCATTTACCAGGGGGTTCCTGCATTCTTGACCCACACCCGTTTGCTTACTTTTGTTTGTTTCCCCCCCTGTTGGTTTTAAAGGGAATCGATCACTACTGAAGGGATGACGCAGCTGGGTGAGACGTACAAGAAGGACCCCCGCCCCAAGCAGCCGATTTGCGGGGCTCAGGAGCTCAAGCTGCTGAAAGCGCGGCGGAGCCTTTGCATGCCGATCCAGGCCGGGGCTCTGCGGAGCAAACAAAAACGTGGCCCGGATTGGCTGTGGGCCAAAAATGGGTACCCAAAATCTCAGTTGTCCAAAGCCGACCTTTTCACCTTTTGGTTTTCCAATTTTGGTCCATGTTTAGTCATGGCCCCAAAAGGTTAACCTTTTGTTTCTGGGTCCTTTTGATCAACTGAGAAATGGAACCCTGGTAAATGGAACCCATGGCTAAAACCTGCGGTTCCTTGGTGCTTTAATTTTAACCCACACCCGGATGAGCCACGTGCTCAAAACCCGGGTACCCTGAGGGTCATGACCCCTCCAATTCAGACCCCGGACCCTCCAATGGAGAACCTCATGGGCCGTCATGGGCCCTCAAAAACAACCCATGAGGCCCCAAAATCAATGGGGATCCTTAGGGTAGATGATTGTTAGTAAGGAGCAGTCCCAGCCAGAAATAGTTGCGGCCGCCTGAATTCTTTACATGGGTCTGGGTGCCGGGTTTTGATTGTGACTCAGATGGGGTAAGACCGTCTTGCCCGTTGCACTCCTTTCAAGGGGAACCAAACGGAAATGGTAAAAAACCTTGCTTTTTGGGTACTCTTTCAGTACTCGCGTTGTCTATTCTACAGGTCCAAACCGTTTTCTAGAGGTTTGATCACTGCCAGCGCAAGCTTCTTCGGCCGGCAAGGCCAGCTTTCCGCCCGGAGGAGTTCGGGCAAACTTGCGTCAGCATGCGTACTGGTGGATAGGCTGGAGCAACATGATGCCCAAACCGCAACACATCCGTGAGAAAGGGAAACCAACCCAGCCGGAGAAAAAAAGAAAAGAAAAAAAGCGCAAGAAAAAACTCAACCCAGCGAATCCAATCCAAAGCCAAACCTATTTCAACCCTGAAGCCCATCCTGAACAAACTCCCACCCGAAACCAACCCTGACTCCACCCTTATCCAACACGAAATTCTGCCCTACACATACCCCCACCCAACTCACCGGAAGCAGTTCAAATCCCACCAGGGACACTAAATCTATCTAAATCCGCCCCAAAGCAACTAAATCCTCCCTGAACCCTCCCCGAAACAACCCTCAACCAATCGCTGACAGCCTCGATGCTGCAAAACATAGAAGGATTAAGCATGCCTCGCGCTACCTCAGCCACAATTATGCGAAGCTCAAAGGTCTGGTGTTCAACTAGGTCCCCCAGTAGTGCCTTTTTACCCTTTTTTGGGGAGGGTTCCGCTGCTAAAATAGACTACGGAAAAAGGGTACCCTTATTCTAACCTCTCTGCTGGAAGGTCTAGTCAAACCACCATCGGAACAAAAGGGTTTATGACCACCATTGTTTACCGAAGGAACTTCGTCATCTATATTGGGCCAACCTTCCTTTCGGGTTGAACCCTGGGGTCTACCATTCCGATCTCGCACTTGCCAGGCCGAGATCATCCCGAAGCTACTTGGCGGATTCGGGGAATCCATAGGCTTGGGTATGCTTCTGAGGTCTCCAAAGCTATCTTTATTTTGCAGGAAGGCTAAATATGAAACATAATCAGACAAGTTTTTTTTTGGGGGGGGGCATACTCATTGAGTGCTAGTAGCCCCTCTTCGGATTGCCGCAGTGGATGGGGGGGTGGCCTCTTGGGTGCCCCTTGGCAATGGGAGCTTTGCGTTTTGAACAACGCCATCCCAACTTTGGGAAATCTACTCACTCCTTGTGTGCGACGAGTTTTGGCTTCAGTCGCTGTGGTCTGGTTACAAGTTTTGGCTCTAGACCAATCCAAAACAATCCGTGTAGGCGTATAATATACGCCAACATATGACCCATCTTCCGGGTAACTGTTGATCTCTCTATGTGTATATCTATATATATATACATATATTTAATAAATATACGCATATATGTGTATATGATTTATTGCCTACATGGATTGTCCGGAAATCTACTCGATGGGAAGTGAGACTTGAGCAAAACCTCGGGAACCTTCGGCTGGGTCCCAGCCCGACAGTACATGCTTTGGTCCACCCGCTCTCATGCGGACGTGTTGACATGCACACCTGGAGGCTTGCATGGACACTTTTTAGGGTTAATCCGTTTTTTGCTCAGGTAGACTTTGACACCCCGGGGGGTCCTTCCTCGTTTTGGCTACTGGGCTTAAGTGTTAGCATTTGCTTTACCATAAAAAGAAGAAACAACAACAAACGGCTCCGTCACGGGTAGTTGCTTCACCGCAAAAATAAGCTCGGGTGATTTCCCCAACAGCATGCGGTGCTCTTTTTAGTGCTCACACCACCCCGCAGCCCTCGCAGAACCTCGTGGAACCCTCGCGGAACCCTCGTGGAACCTTGCCTCAGGGCCGCCCCGGACAACCCCAGAGCCTATCTGGGCTGAGACCCCAATGTTGGGGAACAGAACGCAAACGGCTCCGGCACGGCATTCTCCCCGCGCGAGGTACGGCTTCGAGCCCACTAGCCGCGGGGTGAGCCAAGTGCAAGCTACGCTCACCAATGCCAGCATGATGGAGGAGCCCCAAGCCAAGTTCGGCACAGGGAGGTCGGATCTGTTGTGTTTGTTTTTGATAAACTAGAACAGTCCGGATTTGGTGCAAAGTCCATTTGCAAGATCCTCATGCCACATGGTAATGCCGAGTCCTCAGCCGCTGGTTGTTAGCTTGTGGAGGTTTGGTGGAGGTTCCGTTCTTGCAGTGGAGCCGCTCAGTATGATTTTCGCTTGCAAGAGTGCCCAGCAGGGAAATGGTTGCTTAAAGAGGCAGTTGGCCCTTCCCCATTCCTTCCAGGGATCGGCTGATCCCTTCTCGAGAAACGATCGGGTATTGAAACGAGGGATGGTTGAACAGAACAGAATCACCCCCTAGAAGTAGACATGCCCACCCCTGCAGGCCCTGGCAGACATCCCAAGCTTTGATTCGTGAGAGGGGCTTGAGAAAGCGTCCGAACGTGCAATGTTGACCCCCTATTAATCAACCCCAGTTTATTAATAGGGGGTGTTCCCCTCCAAAGAAAGTGAGCAATCCCCACAAAAACCAGGGACACCCCCCATATGTTGAGGGGGTGTTCATTGAGGATGTGCAGCCGGTACTCCTACACCTTGAGGGGTCATCTGCGCGCCAGGAGCCAGACATCAAGGACATGAACGGACTCGCAGCTTTGCAGCAAGGTGGTTTGCTCGGCTGAACCAACACCAATGCGAGTTGGTTTTGCCAGTTTCCGGTGTCAAGCACAATTGGCGGCCATTGTTGGGGGTAACGAAAGGTAACCAGATTCACTTTTTGCTTCTGGTACTTTTGCGTAGTCTAGCGAACCAGGTAGAACTGGAAACCCGGAGAGGTGTCTCTTGTTCTTGTTTAATGCCATGAGTTTGGATTGCCTAACAAAACAAGAAGAAGCACTGCTGTTCAAAGCCAATCCTTGGGTTATAAAGGGGTCCCCCTTGTAGTGCTTTTCGAATCTAGATTGGGGTATCTCAGCTCTCTTCTTTATGGCACCCACATGGTGGTTTTCCTTTTGGCTTCTCTTCAACTCCAAGAAATTGGGATAATGGGCACCCCGGATTAATAAACCCCTGGTTGATCAATAGGGGGTGTCCCTGTTTTTGTGGGGATTCAGACCACTTTTGGAGGGAACACCCCCATATTAATAAGCTGGGGTTTATTAATCCGGGGTCGACATTACCGACTCCTTTAAAGAGACGAGCCCATTTGGATTGCTCGGAGCGAGCGTGGGATTCTCCAGGTCTCACTCCCTGAAGCTTTCGTCAAGCCTATTCTCTGCTGCTGGGTTGGATCTTTAGACAGAAAAACTGGTTGGATTCCCCTCATATGTCCCTTTACCCAGCAAAAAGTAAATATATATATATATATATAAACTTTTGTCTGGGGGATCTTCTGGCTGGGGGATCTACAGCATTGAAGGTTTTTCATTGCAAGCCGTTGTTTGTTGGTATTTACAGGGGAGGCATCACCCCCAGGGTTTTTAGGTGGTGCCTAAGGGGATTTTCGCAACCATCCACAGGCATGGCTGGGATGAGCTTCGGCCCAGGTGGTCTACCTCACCGGCGAGTTGCCCAGGTCCAAGGCGGCTGAGGGCGCCACCGTCTAGCCGAGCGAGCGAGCGAGCGGCCGGCGCCAGTGCGACGCGCGGGAAAAAACACGCGTCACCGGGTCGAAAAGACAAACCAACCACACAACCAGCATTTTGGGGGGCGGGTCCCCCTATTTCGTTTTTTTTGTCCCTTTTTCGGGTCGCTGGGCTGTCTCTTTTTCATGGCACCCCCAAAATAGTTGGTTTTTCCTTTTGGCTTCTCTTCAATTCCACCAATCAAACATTGGAACACCGACTCCAAAAGAAACGAGCCACCCATTTGGATTGCTCGGAACATCGTCTCTCGCCCTGAGTTGTTCAGTGGCAAGCAACAAAATTGTTTATTTTTTTGGGGGCCGTCCACGCGGGAAGTGAGTAGATGATCACGGACCCACTTTGAAGTGCATCGCAGGCCTTTTTTTGTGGGAAACACAAAGTTCAGACTTTTTTGGCCATCCACGCAGGAAGCGACCCAAATGGGTTGAGTTGGGCATGTTTTTTCCTGCCGCAAAATGATGCTTAGCACAGGTCCCCTGTTAAAATCTGCACTCACATCTCTTTCTGAATGGTGCCAGGCATGATTATAGAGTCCACTCTCTGAAATCCGGCCTCGCAGGGGAGCATGTCAAAGCCCTGGGTTTGTTTTGGAATCTGAACAGGGCTCCTTAAAAGATCTCCATTTTGTAACCATTTGAAACATGTTGCTTTTTCAACACCAAAATAAAGTTGGACACCGCCATTTACAAGTCGCAGTCAGGTGTTTTTCATGCATCCGAATCCCTGCTGAAAGAACACCGACGGACACCACTGTTTTTTGTGGTTCTTCAGTACCCTGGACTCGACCAGCGTGCTTGAAAGCTCCAGAAAAATTGATCCAGCTGGCTAGAACGTCGGCTTGTTCTTCGTCGGGGTCCTTGTTCTTCCTTGGTGTCTCCTCCGAAGTTGGACATGTTCGGGTGGGCGAAAAATGGACCAGAAGCTCATAGAACCCCTTTTTGGACGATTTGAAAGGGAGACCAAAAGGAAACAAACCTTTTAAGTGGTCCCCTATTTTGATCCTACTGGTAGTTGGGGAGCTGAGGGTACCAAAGAAACGCGCATGCTATCCAAATCAAACGTGTCTTTAAAGGAGGAGCTTTGCGGAGCTACCAGGAAATCTGCAGACACACGGCCGCCCGAGCCTCACGCATGTCCGAGGCTGTGCCTGCAAGCTTCGGCCGCAGGTGGGTTGACTGACTGGAGGGAGGTTTTGGGCACACCACGGAGAGTCCCGGAGGTTTCTACGGATCTTCCATTCTACTTCCGCAGAATTCGCTCCCCTTAATTTGTTGCCTTTTGTTTTTGTGTTGTTTTGCTTTTTTGTTGGTCCCTTAGTTTTGTTTTTTCCACCGACCAGGCAAAAAAAGATAAGACACAATTGCCGGGGTCCTAATTCCAGCCTAGTCTAGGGGACACTTCCATGTCCATTCTGAACCCGGGGATCCAAGTCCTGAGTTCCTGGACTTCATGTCTTGTTGGGACAGATTTTGTGGGACGGATTTCCTGGGACGGCAGGGTTCGAACGGATTCCGGGGCTGTTGGGGATATCCACTTGTACTTTTTGTTGGGACAGTTTGAGTGGAAACACAGCAGTTAGCTTGACATGTTGGGCAAGATTGCTTGATCCGCTGGAAGCTTTGGGGTCGATAGGCCCAAATCAGCCCTGGGGTTTGGGGAGGGTTCAAAAAGAAGGGTTCCAAACAAGGATTCCGGGGCTGTTGGGAGATCCACTTGCACTTTTTGTTGGGACAGTTTGAGTGGAACACCATCAGTTTCAGGCATGTTTGGCCCATCCAGCCACGTGCAGGGTTGGGGGAACGAGAAATTGGTTCATCGGAGAATTCGTTATTTGGAAGGCCTTCCATTGGTATGGCAGCGGGGAATTCCTACTGGTCAGATGCTTGCGAATCGTTGCAGCATTCCTGGAAATGATGGTTAACCTCCCAAAAATAGGGCTTCCCCAGGGTCAGTATTGTGAGGCGCGGGGAGGGCGGGGGGCGGCTGCTGGGGTTTTGTTCAGTTTGGACGTCCGGCGGAAGGTCCTCGAGCGCGTCTTGGACCAACTACGCGCGCGGCGCCCGAAAGGCCTTCTTCACTTACTTTGCAGAAGGGGCGGGCCTCACTTGAGCCATGATCAGGTGAGCCACAATCAAAGCCTGGGCAGATGAAGCTTAGTAAGGGACAATCCCTACCATAAATAGCTGCGGCCGCCTTCTTAATTCTTTACATAGTATTGGGTAGACCATTTTAGTACCGGGTTTTGACTATGACCCTCAGGTCAGGAAGGGAGAGTCCCATCCCCAATGTGAATCGACCTTTTGAAACCTGTTGGTTTCCCTGTTTCGGGTCCCCATGTTGAGTCACTCCCCCAAAAGGTGATCATTGTTTTTCCAGGTCCTGTGGGCAACTGGTGATGCTCTTGAACTGGTGTGGAGTGGGGGGAGGCATGTGATTCAGTGAGTAATTCCATTTGGGTGTGTTTGTTAGGGTACCCCTTCCAGGGTATCAAAAGAAAGATTACCGTGAGCATTCCGCCATTTCTAGACAAACCCAGGTTTGCCTTGGTTAGAATGGAAGTGCAAAGAGGGATGTTTGAGCCCATGCCTCAGTCGCCTATATATTTGAATCCCTTGTTCTAGGCTGTGAAATTGTTTTGTAGAACTGCCTATGGTGGTTGGAAGGGATCCAAGGAGCCAGTATCCAAACTTGCTGTTATAGAAGGAGCCTTCCGGAGCTGCGATTTGAGTCCTGTCAGCACATGGTAGTCAAACCATGCTGACCCAGAATGAGCTGGCAGATGTTCTTAGGTTCTTTTTCACCTTAAAGGCCAACCAGAAGTCTTCAGAAACTTGATCACTTCCCACCAAGTACTTGGGTCCCCCAAGTAGGGCCCTTTTTTTTGGGAAGGGCTCCCCCTACTAAAATCGATTGCAGAAAAAATGGGGGTCCCCTTATTCTAACCTCTCTACTGGAGGACCTAGTTGTTCCATATTGTGCAACGCTAAGCCGCTGTGTTGCCAGGATGGAAGAAGGAATTGCATAAACTCTAAGACGTCATTGACATCCATTCATCCGTCCATCTGTCCGTCCATCCATCCATCCATCCATCCATCCATCCATCCATCCATCCATCCATCCATGCATCCAAGTACTCCCCTTGGAGATAGATGTATCTGCCTGCATGCTATATATATATATATACATCTAATGACATCCATGCATCTATACGACTGTCAGGATTTCGGCTCAGCCTTAATCACCCAACTTCATCTGTCACAATGCAGTCGTTCCGCGCGGCGGCCTTGGCCCTGGCCTTGGCCCCGTTGGTCTCCGCACGCCTCTTCCACTCGCCGACGGCTCCGGCGGCCCCGGCGCTGGCGGTGGAGGACGCTTTTGCCTTGAGCAGCCGGTCACCGAAGAGCTGGCTGAAGGCCATTGGGCCGCCAGCAGCCGGGGGGGGAGCTTTGGGAGGGGGGCGGGGGGAGCTTGGTGGGGGGTTGTGGGGGGGGGGGGGGAGGGGCTGGATTAAAACGAGCGAAACCCGGTGCTCTACCTGGGGATCCCGTTTCTCAGGTTCGGGAAGAACTGTAGAATGGTACCTCTTCATTTGTTGAATGTTGACCCCTCAATAATCACCCCAGTTTAGTAGGGGGGTGGTTCGTGATGAACCCGCCACTAAAACCAGGGAACCCCTATATCAATAAACAGGCAACATGGGATCAACATTACTCAAGGCGTGCTGATGTTCCTGGCCTGCTACCCGTGGATGTTTCCTCAAACCGGGAGTGCGATTTTCCGATGCAAAGCGAAGGATAAGGCAATTTCTGGGCCACCTTAAAGCAAGCTGCTCATGAGATCCAAGCTCATCTGCACAGATGCGGCCTTTTGGGTAAGGCAACTTTTCGCATCGCTCAAGGCTTCGTGCCTTTCAACGTGCCATGTGCGTACCACTGCTGGGGCCTGAAACAAGTTGTTTGGCACTTGGTTTAGTCATTTTGTGGAACCCTGCAAAACTTAACAAGCACCGCCCCCTTACACTGCGAGGACGTGCCTTTTTCACTAAGCGTGTGGTGGGCCAAAGGCTGTCCTCAAAAACCCCCTTATGTGACCAATAGCCAATGGTTGTCAAGTGTGTAACCCACAGGTATGCGATGGCACGGACAGGACCTTACATTGGGATGTGATTTGTATCTTCAAAATGGAGCTACCAAGAAGCCGCCGTGAAACCATGGCACACTCCCTTTTTGAAACAAGCACCCAGACAAATGTTGTTTTTCATGAACGCCTTCAACATGGTGGCAGACAGACATGTCCACCGAATGGTCCAACTAATAGATCATATCCCCAGCAATTGGTTTGATATTTGACCTTGGATAGGAACTTTACTGCTATTTGGTTGTAATCTTAACCAGGCACATTTTTGAACCATGTGTGTCCCCCCCCACCAATCATCAAATAAATGACCATTTGGCAGGGGCCTTTACCCACATGAAATAAACCTGGTTGAGCGCCAAGTCCCATTCCGAATGCGGACCCCGCAAAACGACTCAAAGGACAGAGCGGGACCACAATTTTAGGACAGCCCTATGTGTGGTCAAAACTCCGATTGACTTGGGTTAACCTTTAGAACAAGTTTGTTGGGAAACCACAACTAGGTCCCCCAGTAGCGCCCTTTTACCCTTTTTTGGGTGCGGGCTCCCCTACTAAAATAGACCTACAGAAAACAGAAACGGTACCCTTATTCTAACCTCTCCACTGGAGGACCTAGCAACAAAAATATGCGGTTCCTTTTTTTTTTTAAATCGATTTCACTGCTGGGTCTATTTGCTGGATCTACTGGTGTGGACCTGGAAAAGCATGAGGTCACCACTTTTTTTTGCCCCGGACTTTTCCATCTCGGTAGGCGGGGCCAACAGCGCCCAAGTGCAACGAAAAGAAGGTGGTCGGCTCGGGAGACGCGGCTTGGCCGGGAGGTGTTTTTTGTTTTGTGAGGCTCCCCTTTGAAGGGTTGGGTTAATCAGCTTCCTCCTACTGGGTGGTTTGGTGGTTTGACGGTTATAGTCAGCTTCCCCCCAGTTGGTGGTTTGGATTGCTGGTTTGGTGGTTAAGGAGGGGTTTTCCCATTTACTCTACAAGAACCAGGGATTCGAATCCCCAAACCACCAATCAGCAAAAAGCTGAGTTCAGGGCAAATCAAAAGGAACAGCACGTGTTCTTTTGTTGGACCTCATACGTTTCATACTTTCTGGGAAGACCACAACGCGTTTTGGTTCAATCCGCGGAGGAAACGAGGGATACAATCATTGGTTCGAAGTTTAATGCCGCAAGGACATCTCAGGAGCGCCTCCGAATAGGGCCACGCGCCCCCCCAATACCAACAGGGGCTAATAGGAACTAAGGCCCATCCCGGAGTAGGGGCCGACAGGGTTCCTTGTGGATGTCCCGCAGAGTTTTGGTTGAGGGAGCATTCCTTCTAAGACTGCACGAGGTTGATTCTGGGCTCGACATTGTGATTGCTAGCTGCGGTTTGGTTGTGCTTGGTCAGTAGTAGTTTACGTTTTGTATGGGGGACTTTCTACATTTCCAAACCAGGCGGCAAACTCTAATTTTTCGCATGGCTTTTGGGAATCTTCACCAATGCCACTGTGCGCTGGATAGCCCAAAATGTCTCCCCAGATTAACGTGGAAGCCAAAAGGCTTCCCCAAAGAAAGCCGGGGTGCAGGCTTGTTTTTCCAGAGTCTCCTTATTTTGCGCTTAGACTACCCACTTAAGCTATGGTTATAAGTCTAAGTGGGTTACCAGGCTTACTAACCACATACCTGACGTACCAAATCGATCGCCCCTTTAAGTGGGACCATCGCATAGGGAAAGTTCTTGGGCCGCACGCCGGCCGCGCGACTTCCCCTCAGGACAAGTTCCTGAAGTGCCCCAAGGCCCGGTGCGACATGTCGCCCACAGGCACTTTTGGCTCGTGTCAAAGGCCGCCGGGGATTCTATAGGGTCACTAATTTGACTGTTTCTGGTCAGAAACTGAAATGGTTTCCCCGTGAACCGACCACTTAGGGGTGACTTTGATGAAAACAATGGGGCTGGGGATGTGGATTGCATGACTCGAGCCAGGAATCAATGCCAATTCGTCCAAGGGACTGCCGCAGTTTCCCATGAGCAATTGGCGCAGTAGCAAGCAAGCGGGACACTGTGCAACGGGTATAGCTGGTTGATACAAAGGAACCTTGTATGGCAAGATGTTGCATCTTTCCGACCCGTTTCACCCGCCCCATCCTGCGCCCCCGCCAGTTTGGCGCCCGTTTTTGAGGGTACCCCTATTTGGAGAGAAGCCCAAATCTTTGGACTTCGAGCCTTTCGACAACCCAAAACTGATATCACGGGTTCCGCTAGGATACAAAACGTGTAAGAAGATCCTCAAAATCGAGTTGTCGTGTTTTTGGGTTCAACTGGCTTTCAAAGTAGCCTTTGGGCCCTGCTTATGTCAAGACCTTTGGTGATCTCCCAGGGTGTTTGAGGCTTGGAGGTCAGGTAGCCCTACTGATGGACAAACTCCTGCACCACTTTCTGAGACTATGGTTGAACCCATTGTTTGTTGGCATTTGCAGGGGAATTGAATCATTCCGTTGGGTTTCTTAGGAGCGAAATGGATTTGGTCCATGCACAGTATTTGCTTTTCATCTTTGTGAAACAACTACCGCTTCAAGTCTCCGAGACGGGAAGCCGAAGACTTCCGAGCCAACCGTTTCACCGTTTTCCCCCCGTTTCCCCCGGCACCCGGGGGGGCTCGTTGCGGTCGTATTTCGGGTCGTTTCGGGTCGTTTGGCGTCCTTTTGATCGGTGAGTTTGGTTGAAGACAGATGGGTTCCACTGGTTTAGATGGGGTTTGTTCCATTTGCCACCATCTATCTTTTTTCCAAAAGGCCACCGCCGTTTCGGGTGAGGAGTGCCCCATCTACGCGGACGAGCGCCAGAACGGGGTCGACTGCGACTTCGAGTGCGTGGCGGCGACTCCGAAGGCGTGCAGCAAGGTGAACCCCAAGGACGGGGACTCGGAGCGGTGGAGACGGGAGACGGCTTCGGGTTTTTTGGTTTTTGGGGAAACCTTGGCTTCCATTTGCTGAAATGAATATGTGTGTTATTTTTCCCCGGTTGGTTTTTAAAGGGAATCTGTCACTGGAAATATTATTTTTTTTCCAGGGGACTTGAGCAAATGGAAGTTGGGGTTCGGGTTTCTTGGGGTTCCGGGAGTGGTTTGGGGTATGTTGGGGTTGTCCTCCCCTTAGCCTCAATCCTTCTTGATATGTTCAAGGTCCTCGCGGTGGCTTTCCAAAGTAAGATTGTGGATAGAAAACTTGCCAATCCTCTCATTTGAACAGCCCGGCCTCTAGAGGTGACGTTCTGTTCTTTGGAAAGTGGGAGCGCGGGGGAGGAGGCGTGCAAGCCGGCTGGAACAACTACAGAGACACAGCTAGTTTATGATGTCATGCCAGCCAGCAACATACACAAGCATGAATGTGCTAACACATCACATATATATATATATATATATACACTAATGTATATGTAAATAGGTTAATATATAGATTGTAGTATATTTGCCAAATGCCTAGAAAGCATTGGCAACTACACCCATCATTCGTGCCCTGTTGCCATTGTGTGTTGCCTTCTTCCCTAACCAGCTAAAAGCTGCGCCACTTGTCGCCTAGGGCGCCACTTCTCCTGCGTTTGGCGCCTGAAAGGAGCCCGTGCCCGACGAGGAGCGGGGCATTTGCCGCGCTTGCATCATCTACGGGTGCAAAGCCTGCACCAGCGAGGGTGCAGACACCTGCGCCCTGTGCGAGTCTGGGTTCAGGCTGACCGCAAAAGGCACCTGTGAGAGCACCAACAAGTACCTTTGGCGCCTCGGTGTTTTTCAACGGTCGTGTTTGTGGGGGGGGGGGGGCGGAGTGTTTCTTCTGAGTGAAGCTGTGGTTCCGTGGTTTCGTTGGCCGGGTGCTTCTAAGTCAGGCTGAGGTTTGGTGTTGTTTGTTTGCTTTTTGTTTTAGGGTGCTTCCGAGTGAGGGTTTCAACGCCGGTTCTATTGTGTTGCCCTTTGAATGGAGTTGTCATGCCGTTCCTGAGGGCTGCCTTCAGGCCCTGCAAAGCCTTCCCAAAGCCTGTCGCTGGATATGTTTCTGCAATTTTTCTCACCCGGGCGTATTGGAAATTGGTTGATTGGGGGAGGGGGATTTGGGACCCCTGGAGCGAATTCCATGTCTGGCGAGCCATTTTCCCTGTGGGGAAGACTAGAACTAGATAAATGAAATTGGGGGACCCCACCCCCCGCCCCCTTAAGGTGGGGGGGATGATCCATTGCTAAGCTTGCCCCAAGTTCTCTTTCTGCTTTGCGTGCGAAGCCATGCCCCTTGGGCCGTTGTGGACGTTTTGGCTTCCATAGCGTGGGATGAAACATGGCGTCACATTTCACCCAAGACAAGATGCCCACTCTGAGGTCCCTGATGGCCCTCCGAATTTTACAAGGGATGCGCCGCCCCGCCTTTCCCTGAAGCGGCAAACTTTGGGGGGGGGGGGCAGGCTGGGCACCATCCGCCAAATCACCAATTGGAGGGAAGCGGATCTGGTTTTCTCACTTCCTGAGCTCCTGGACTTTGACGTTTTGGGAGAACCAAATTTCAGTGGTAAACCAAACGCTTGGGGCCTACCCTCCCTCCCACCCACATGGCACCCGACTTGGGTTTCCTGAAAGGAAACTGATCTTCCAGGTAGCCTCGCACAGGTGCCATGTTAGTGGGAGTTTAGTGGGAAATCCCCACCTAACTGCTAAGAGTTATTTTTGTTGCTCCCCTTCCAACGTCAACCAAGATTTGAGCGGTAAACCAAGAGCTTGGGAACTTTTGCAGGGCCAATCCAGGGACTTTTTGGGTTTCCGCCGGTTTCCGCCTCGCGAGGTACGCGCTCTTCGCGGTCCTCGGCCTGGTGGCCGTCTTCATCGTGGCCTGGGTGGTGGATCTCGCCTGCCGGCCCGTGGTGAACGTGCAGGGGCTCAAGGGGGCCCTGCGCCTCGGATATGAGGAGACGGTCTCAGGGAATGAGCGGACTCTTCTGGGGGTTACCCCCCCCCCAAAAGGCTCCCATGCTGTGGATGGTTGGACCTTGCAGGGGAATTGAATCATTCCGTTGGGATTCTTAGGTGCGAAATGGATTTCGCAACCATCCACAGTGTGATTCTAGGGTTACCTTCCATTTCCTTTCCAGGGAACACGGCCGGTTTTTGGAAGACCGATGGCTGAAAATGGGGAATCAACCCCTAGACCAAGACAACCCATCGCCTATGCTTTCATCAATCATGGGCTGCAAAATGGAACAGCTTTCAAAGCATGGTTGTTGTCAGGAAACAATTTGCATTTTTGCTTATTGTGGTTTAGTGGGAAACCCAACCACATAACTGCTAAAATTTAATTTGTTGCTCCCCTTCCAACGTCAATCAAGAAAGCGCACATACTGTTTAGTCAGTTCACCCAAGCAATATCCAAAGAAACAAAAACGGACGGCCTGTGGCCGGTTTTGATTGCTGATCAGGGCCCCTTAGACAGCCACGCTTTCAAATCACCTTTCCCCTTGGTTGGTGTGGCTTGGTGGCTTTTGTAGAGGGTAAATGGGCCACCCCTCCTTTTCACCACCATCTATGTAAACCATTGGAGGGGAACTGAGTCAGAGCTGACAGGAGGGTTTTGGAAGACTACTTTCTTTTTGGGAAGCCATTTGCCCCACTAACAGCTGGCCCTGGTTTGCCCGCCAACCACGAGTTTTTCGTGAGTGTCTCTCCGTGTTGAAGTGAATCGTGTTTCAGTGGGGCTTGCTTCATATCAAGAGCTGCACATGCAGGGACAGACTGGTTGGTCATGGGGATGGGAATGCCACGATACCGGTCTCGCAGAAAAGCTCATGTTTCACGATCATTCGGGGGGTTATCACCAAAAAAACAAACAAAAACACGGATCCCTTTTAAAGAAGGGACCCTTTGAAAGGCGGGCCCCACCAAAACCATGGCCAACAAGGGGCACCCATTTTTTTGACTGCTATTGGGTTGGATCTTTAGACTTTAACTTTTTTAGTTGAAATCAGGTTGGGTTTTCCACTAAACCCCCAAAAAGTGAAGCACTGCTTGCAAGGGGGTCAACAGCAACCAAGCACGGGTATCCATTTTGGACCCCCCCCCCAGTCTGATGACGACCAAAGCCCGGCCTTTGCTCGCCGCCGCCACGGGCCTAGGAACGCGCGGTCCCGGTCCAAGGTGAGGATGCCTTTGGCGGAAGGGACGGAGGGCCGGGAGCTGTACCCTTTGGACACCAACCTGCTGCCTGGCTGGTCTTGATTATAAATTTCGGGGTTTTCCCATGAATCCTACCAAACCTTGCAAAGGTCCATTTGAACCAAGTTGGAGGGGTTTTCATGGAATCCAACAACAACTGCTTTTCACCCTGTTGAACCAAGTGAGGGGTTTTTCATCCAACAACAGGTTCTTTTTCGACCCTGTTGAAACCAATTTGAGGGGTTTCCGCAATCGACCTGTTGCTTCGGTGATAAGACAGGCTGAAGACGCCGGTGGCCGGGGTCGGGGTGCAGCTGCACTTCAACTTCCAGTTCTTCCTCATTGTGTGGTCCCTTGCCATCGGCGGCCTGGAGTTGAAGAAATGTGGTGGCCAGGGTATCCCGGTATCCCCACCCCCCTTATAAATGGGCTCCCCAGCTAGGTGCCCTTTCGTTTAACAACTTTTTTGGTTGGGAGGAAACCCTCCACTAAAATAGACTACAGAAAAAGTTGGCACCAACTTATTCTAAGCTCTCTACTGGAGGACCTAGAATGGAATTGCAGTGGGTGACCCCTGGAATTCCATGTATGGTTCCATTTCCCTTTCAAGTTAACTACTTAAAGGGGCAGCGTACTTAGTAAGTGGAAACCCGGCCTGGTGACAAAAGCCCACTGAACGGAGACGTATGACCATGGCTTTTGTGGGTTATTACCAGGCTTACGAGCCACTTACTTATTAGAATGCCCTCTCCGGCTCCCTTTTTCAAAGCACAAGTCGGAGACCCGCTCCGGCTCGGTTCCCTTCCGGCTGCCTTACCGAATGGCTATGTGATTGCGAGTCTTTGGACTTGAGCTTGTGGGTTGAGAAATAGGTCGGGTTTTTCAAACTTGGACCCACCAAAAAGAACACAACTTTTTGCCGTCAACGTCAACCAGGACATGTGGTCGGGGTTTGGCGTTCGCATGTTTTTTGGTTGGGGGGGAGAGGGCGAGCCCTTGTCGGGGTTTTAGGTTTCCTTTCAAACAGGGGAAGCCAATGGGTGAAGGAACTGGAAACCGGCCCCGTGTTGTGGGTCGCCTTTTTGGAGACTGCGTTGGGGAGCCCCAAGCTCGAGTTGCCACTCGGCTGAACTGAGTGTTGGAGCCGTGAGTCCTGACCAGTCCTTAAGGCCTCGCATGCTGAGGTCAGATGGTAGGCACAGAAGCAACCGCTCAAAACCGGTCCGCATGTTTTTGAACTTGCAGAGAGCCCTCGTGGCTCTCTCCTGAAGCCCCCTTATTTTAACGGGCCTTGGCTTTAAATTACTGGTTTTGAGGGGGCGGAATTCTTCTCTGACTGGGGTCACGATCAAAGCTACCCAGAGTGAAGCAAGTTTCTCTTAGGCCTGGCCTGGATGGTTCTGGCCCTCTCCGTGGACGACGCCCTGCTGATTCTGGGCACCCGGCGCGCCAAGACGGCGAGGCGGCCAGACTTTGGGCGCGGGGGTTGGTGTGAGTTGCCGGGTAAGCTATGGACATCTATGGACCATAGACCATGGACAGCTGTGCGACCATGATTTTTGGACGGAACCCCGTAGTTGGATCGTTTTGTTTTTTTCTTTTCCCCGTGCGGTCATTGTTGTTTTCTGGAGGGTTGCCAAGCAAAAAACATGAAATGGTTTCTACGCATCGTTTTGAAAGGGAGCCAAAGGGGCTGCGGGCATCCAAATTTAAGCTTGCTTTTATAGAGAAAGCCTGCCGGAGCTACCGATCGGAGTGCTGTGAGTGCGACTCAGACCAAGTGAATCCCAGAGCTTTAGGTAACGCCGGGAATGTCAAATCGAGAGGCGGGCGGAAACCGGCCCCTCCGAAGGATCTACAAGAGCCACTGGCGCGTGTATGGCATTTGTATGCGTATCGACGCGCTGCAAGAGTAATTGCCTGGGCGCAGGTGGTACGTAGGGCTGCGTTCTCAGGTCCTCTTCTTGCACACCCGGGTTGGTTTTCTTCTCTCATGGACCCGTGTATGCGCACTGTTCTCGACATGTTTCTTGTTCTTGGCTTTGTTCATGTTGAGCAAGTGTTCGCAAACACACCTTTTTTTTGAAGCACGAATGGTTGTTCTGTTCGTTTCATTTGTTGGCTCCACGCCAAAACCTCAGTTAAGCCGACCCTTTTGATTTTTTGGTTTCCCAATTGTGGTCCATGTTTAGTCATGGCCCCCAAAAGGTGGTCACTGTGTATTTCTGGGTCCCGACTGGGCAACTGAAAAACAGACGCCAGAGGCGCATAACGGGAACGGCCAACACGACTTGGGATAGGCAGAATTGCATCCTGGTGGCTTGGGGCTTCGAGACCCAGCAGCGCCTCATGTGGACCAAGATCGTGGCCTGGCTTTCCTCTAGGGGTAGCCCGGGGGCCGGTGTTTTCGCAGTTGTTCAGTGGCACCAATTCTTTCTCCCTTTTGTTTGGTGGTTGCCCCGCCTAAAAGGGTCCAAGCCCCAAAAAGGGGTCCAATTCTTTTTTTCCAGGGTCACTGAACAACTGGTTGCAAAGGAGGATGGTTGAAAAGAATGGGGAATCAAATTCCAGATGTGTTCCAGAAGTGCGAGAGATTGTGACTTGGCGGTTCCCGGCGGCGTTTGCGTGTTTGTTTGTTTGTTTGTGTGTGTGTGGCTGGCGTTCCCTCAAGGGCGATCAGCCACCACTTGCAGGCTTGCAGGGGGGCATCACCCTTCCAAGACGCATTTTGAGATGGTTCTTTGAGTTGGTGGTTCCCAGCCGTGCGGTTCCTAACTTTTTGAGTTGTTTTTAGTTGGTTGTGTGGGGGAGGGGGGGTCCATTCAACCCACTTAAAAGTGGTTCACTTTTAGCAGGGGGTCTGAGCCCAGCTGATGTTCCTGAATCTAGCCAATTTCCCGGGGAGATTTGCATTCAGTCAGAAGAAGGGCCGAACAACGGTGAGACGTGTTGATCCTTCTTGTCCGGGGGGGGGGGGGCAGGCAAGGGCGAAGCCATCGCTCACACTGGGAAAAATCCGTGTGGACGGGCTAAAAAGGAACCCTTAAGATAGTGCCTTTCAAGATGGATCCCTTGTTAACTTGGCGGTGCCTAGCCGTCCGCTGAGACTTTTTTAGGTTTGAGCTGGTTGAGTGGTCGGGTGTTTCCATGTCACCCACTACCAAGTTGTGGCTCAGTTTCCCACAGCCGACCTTTCGACTTTTTGGTTTTCCAATTTTAGCAAAGGCCTTTCCAATTTTTGGTTTTCCAATTTTGGGTTTTCCAATTTTTGGTTTTCCAATTTTGGTCTCTCTTTAGTAAAGGCCCCAAAAGGCGATCGCCTTTTCTTCCTGGGTCCAAACTGGGCGACTGAGATTGTCGCTCTGCTCGCCAGCAAGTGCAGAGGTGGGATTCCCCCCACCGCAGCCACCACAGCCATCACCACCGCTTCACCCAACAAAGGAACCCAACTGGCGGAAAAAACAAGTTTTTTGCAGGGTAGCAGGTAGATTGCATAAATCGATGTATTGCACCTACACAGGGATATTTAATCATGGCACCTACACAGGGATATTTAATCATGTCTAGGTGTTTGAAGTTTTGGGTCGTTTTTTTGTAGCACATGACTCGATTTGTTTTGAGCAGTTTTGAGGGTGCGGTTTGAAAACTCAGGGGAAGCCGGTATTCAGGCCTTAATCGGAGATCTCGAACACTGCGCTTGATGTTTCATCGGATGAATCTCTGGCAGTTTAATTGACATGGAACCATGCAATTCATGCTCAGACTGGCTGGTGCCTGGAAGGGAGCCGGGCTCGGAGCTGCGGGGGATATTTTATAGAGGGAGCCTTCCAGGAGCTACCAAGAGTCCTGTGAGCACGTGATAGTGGATGAGTCCTTTTTTGTTTGCGTCTTCCCCAGTTCCCCTTCATTTGTGAGGAGGAGTGCCCTTGGTTGGTCCGCAAAAATTGGTTCAGGGATGCTTCTTGAGGTATTTGTATTTGACTTGGTTTCTCTTTGGGCACAACCTTTAGCACCTTGGGGAGGGTGGCGGGTTTCCCACAGCACAGTGTCTCCATTTCCCTTTTCGGCCTCCAAAAGTAACCACCCGCAAATTGATCAACCTTTGATCCGGCGAATTTCCAGTAGTCACTCAGTAGTCCTGGTCTGAGACCAACCAACTGGACCAACCAACCCCCACTCTCCCCCGAGGATTTCGTGGTGGCCGTCTATGTGCTGACCTTTTTGGGTTGCCTTGCCTTTGGGGTAAGGCAGCTGCGCTTGCGCCCGGGATCCAACCGTTTCCAGCGTCCTTTTCCTTTGGCCTGACCAGTTGCCAGCGTCCAATGGTTTCCCCCCGCAAAAAACATAAATAATTCAGCGCCACGCGGTTTTTTGTTTTACCAGGGTCGCTCAAGTGCCGACGGCATGTTTATTTTTCAAGTCCAACGAATGGCAAAGTGCTCCAAATTTGACCAGCAGAGGAACCAAGGGTTTATACAGGGATCACTTCTTCTCCCCTGTTTGGACCTTCAACAGTGGCAGTTTCAGTGAACACCACTGATTACTCAATCCAACTTTTGGATGGGGAGATCCAGCAACCCCGAGTCATAAACTGGTGAGGTGGACCTCCCCTTTTAGACTAGGTCCCCCAGTAGTGCCCTTTCTCACCCCTTTTTTGGGGGAAGGTTCCCATACTAAAACAGACTACAGAAAAAATGGGGTACCCTTGTTATAACCTCTCTTCTGGAGGACTTAGGGTAAGGTGGACCTCCCATTTTAGAGGTCCTTCACTTGGGGGGGAAGGGGGGGGAGCAAAGCGCCGCTGGATCAGGTTCCAGAAGGTGGACATGCAAAGCTCCACCCACAAGGCCCGCAGCGCTTCCCATAGGTGTCCTTTTGGTTTTGGGCGAACAATAGATGGGTTTCGATCCCTGGTTTACCTGGTGGTTTAATCAAGGGCAATTTATTTGCGCCAAAAGGACACCTATGGCGCTTCCTTCTGTTTGTTCGTTCTTGTGTAGATTCCTTTGGTGGATGGGGGCCCCATCCGAGGAGCCAAAGAGAAGCCCTTTCCTTCTTGTCTCTTGAGGAAATACATGTCTTGTGACATCTGTTGTATTTTCAAGTTTTGCATGGAGAATCAAAGAAGTCTTGGTTTGGCTTGAACTTTCCTGTGGCCAAGTACCCTCCTGCGAATTAACATGGAACCTGAAAGAAAGGTCCTGGTTTGGACCATGGTCCAATTAAAGAGACCGATTCCCTGTCAGGTTCCATGTTAAAAAAACGATGGGAGAGTACTACATAAGTACAGTGCCCCTTCAAGTAAAAATGCCACAAAAAAACACAACCCTTGGTATGGGCTTGCAAAACAAAAACACAAACACTGAGGCCGTTTTTGCAGCCCTCGAACCTAAAACATGAACAGAACCAAGCAAACACACAAATTCGGCTGGAAACCGCTCGGACCCCTGTTTGGGGCTAGGGGCTAGTACCTTTGTGGGTTGCAGGTTAAAAGCGTTGGGGGTGGGGAGGGGGGGCGGTACTTACCTTGTGATCCAAAAAAAACATCATCTACATACCTTCTTCACAACCCTTGGCATGGGCTTGCCAAAAAAAACAAAAAAAAACGACGGGTCCGTTTTTTGCAGCCTCCTAAAAAATGACCAGAACCAACAAAACAACGGCTGGAGACCACTCGCTTCGGGAGGACTACGCGGCGCGGATCCGGAACTTGCCGCTGCTGGAGGGCACGGAGCCGGTGGAGGAGGAGCTGAAGAAGCGCCTGGAGGACGCCACCGGCCAGCTCCTCGCCTGGAAAAAAGCAAGAAAGCGAACATGGGGGGGTAGGCACCTGGGCGGGGGGGTTTGGGGGGGGGGGGGGGTGGTGGGGAGGTGGGGGGAGGTGGGGGGAAAAACACGGTGGTTTCCCAACCAATCCTTTTTCTTCCATGTGCTGAATGTTTGTTTATCTTACCCTGTGGGTGTTAAAGGGGGTCGATATCACTACTGCGCTATGTTATCAGTTTTGCCAGGGGACTTAAGCAAATTGATTGCTTTGGTTGTTTCCCAAACAGTCTGGAGTCTATGATATTCAAAAAAAGAAGAAAAAAACGCGTGCTTGACTCGTTCCACCAAGTGTTGGTCGTCCCGGGCCACGGCGACTGGGTACTTATGCGGTGATCGTGAGCCCGGTGAGAAAAAAAACAACTTACCATGGTTCTTAAGTCTCCTGAGTGGAACCACTGCCGGGGGCAGTGGTCCCTTTTTTCTCTGTCATTTGCGGTTTTCAGCTTTTTGGCCCATGAAAGGTGAGGGAACCGGTGTTTTTTTTTTACTAGCCCCGGCTCGGGGCTTACCCCCGGCTCGGAGACTGGTTGGTTGGTTGGTTGGTTGGTTGGTTGGTTGGTTGGTTGGTTGGTCAGCTGGGCGGCCGCATCCCCAGCATGCCCAGCATTTCCGGCTGCGTATGGGGCATGACTTGATGCTCGGGATAGCGCATCGCCAGCATTACTGGCCTCGAGAGCTGCCTATTGGCTTTGGTTTGGTGGCAGTTCAGGGTTGATCGGGGCTGGTTTGGGGTGAGTGCTGGGCTTGCTGAGATATTAATGCGAGCGGGTCTTGGGTTTGTTTAGGGTTCATTTAGCCTCGGCAAAGGGCCGATATGCAGGATGCGGTTGGGAGGGTTTCAGGTTGACTTTGGGTCGGTTTTGGCTTGGTTGGGGCTGATTCGTGCTAGATGTGCGGCTGGTTTAGCCGTGGCTTTCGGGTTGCTTCAGGGATGTGGTTCTGCAAGTTTTGTGCTGGTTTGGGATTGGTTGTGGGGCGTTGCCCCAAACCACCAATCCTAGCCCAAAACTTGCAGAACCACATCCCTGAAGCAACCCGAAAGCCACGGCTAAACCAGCCGCACATCTAGCACGAATCAGCCCCAACCAAGCCAAAACCGACCCAAAGTCAACCTGAAACCCTCCCAACCGCATCCTGCATATCGGCCCTTTGCCGAGGCTAAATGAACCCTAAACAAACCCAAGACCCGCTCGCATTAATATCTCAGCAAGCCCAACACTCACCCCAAACCAGCCCCGATCAACCCTGAACTGCCACCAAACCAAAGCCAATAGGCAGCTCGCGTCCGAGTGAGGCCAGTAATGCTGGCGATGCACTATCCCGAGCATCAAGTCATGCCCCATACGCAAGAAACCGGAAATGCTGGGCATGCTGGCGATGCGGCCACCAACCCCCAGATTGCGCCGAGCCGGGGCTAGTAAAAAGCCCGGGCTAGTAAAAAGAAACACCTCAACCAAAGGTGAGAGTCCCTTGTCGGGGGTGATGTTTGCAAGGGACATATAGGGAGCATGTGTTTTTCTCATACACTTCCTGGAATTTAACAGGAAGCTTCGAAGCCTCTTTTTTTGGGCAGGTTCGTCAACAACCCCATGTCTTTGGATAATCCTAACATAGAAGTCCCTGGACTGTTTTTTGTCGACTTCCGCATTTCAGAACACGAAGCTGACTTCCGACGATGATTCGGGCACCGGCTCCCTCACACCCCGCAATAACCCTACCCCCCCCCCCCCCTAACATAAACCGAACTGCCCCCCCCCCGACACCCCTTCCAGAACTGGCCCAGAACCCCAGCTAGACGTACGACTGGTAGCATGTCGGGGCGAGATTGACTCGGAAACCGCAATTTTTAGCATTGGCGGGCGGACACACCGTAATTTTAAGCGTACCGCAGAAATGCCGGTTCACCACTTTTCTCAGGGATATGCGAAACTGCTCCGAACATAATCATAGTTTCCCTATTTGACCCCCCGAAACATGTGAAGCGCACGTGTTTTCCTTTACATGGAAGTATAGGGCCTATTTTCAGGTGCTATGTTAGGACACTTTTGTGGGTCAGAACTTGCGTGTTCACTCACGTTTTTCATTTTAAATGGAAGTGCAGGCTCGAAACAGGTTCCCTCAAGAATCTAGGGTTCCTGGTCCCGGGATTGTCGTGGCGAGGGGTACCCTACTAGGTAACTTCTATGTTAGGAGGTGGTCGTACATTCCCGGCAACAAACAAATGACAGGCATTTCCCAGAAAAAGACGGTCGAGGGACTTCCATGTTAGAGGGACCTCTGAGAGCACGGACTTCCTGTTTAATTCCAGGCAGTGTAGATTCTGGCTTTTTTGGGAAACAGCCAAAATGGATTGGTTGTTCCGGGATGTCAAAATAAGGAAGCGGTGGCTATCATGTCCTGAAAAGGGTGCCCTTACAATAACACTCATATGGCTGCTCAAAAAACTGGTACCAAAATGGCCACCCTGGCAAATGGAACCGAAGTCTAAAACCTGCGTAACCCTAGCGCTTGAATTTTGAGCCACACCCGTATGCAGTTCTACACGTGTGCGCGTGTTTTGAAAGGTGCCCCCTTTGGGTCTGAGTCCATGGCACGCCGTGATGAAAGCCAGCAGCAGCTTCTGAACACGCCGAGTTACGATGCAAGCCGCTTCGCTCCGTACCCTTTTGTTGGGAAAGGGAAACCAAAAGGAAGACCGACCATTTGCGGGGCTTCCTCTATTGATACAAACGCAGATGTATCCAAACTGGGTTGTGGTTAGTCTTTGGGGTTAGGCCCTTTCCGCTGTATCACAGAACTGGATTCCATTTCTCACAGCCCTGCCCCTAGTCCATGAATAGCTGCATAGAATGAGCCGCCATTTCCGCATTCAAGTTGGCGCTTTGGCTCCCTTGGCAGTCAAGAGGTCCATGTCGCAAGGGGTCAGCTTGGCACCCGAGAAAGAAAGAGGCTCGGACGATGATCATCCCGTTTGCGGAAGGGAATATGGTTTTAGATGAGCTCTTTCACTACTGGAAATTATTCTCATTGTTTTTGTTGCTCCGCTGTTGGTTTTCCATGAATTCTTTCACTACTGGACGCAGGTTCTCCTTTTTCCGGGGGACGAACAAGCAGCCGGAAGTGGCGGCATGCAGCCGGGACGGGTTTGAGGGAAGCGATTTTTGCGCCAAGGAAGGTGGTGGGCGTGTCCGTCTGCTGGGACTTCCAGGAGCATGAGGATGAGTTGTTGGAGCTGATCGAGAGTATCCTTGCTGCAAGCGGGTTGGCTCGTTTCGAACAATGACCAAACGATTTGGGTAGAACGTTGGCAATACCGACACCTGAGGTAACACCCCCCCCACCAATTGACTACATCTGGGGGGGGGGGGTCCACATGGAAGACAGGATTCCCCACTAAAAAGGACCCTCAATAGTACGGGGACAGTTTATTAACCCGGGGCCAGCAACTGGCCCCATGTTTTTCCCACCCATTTTTTAATTTACATATCGCCATGAAGGCCACCCCAGCGAAAACGGACATCAACCCCATTTTCGGTTGTTATCCCCGAAGCAGTCACATTCTGACCCCGGTAGAACAGTTTGCAACTCCCGTGTTCTTTTCCAGGACCAAGTGCAGTTGTCGCTTTGTTTCTTCCCCATCTTTCTGGGCCTACACAGCTTGAGCAGATACAATGTGTTTTTTTCTTGGTGAGCAGAAGGAGGAGAATCCCGGGGCGGTTTTCACGCGTTTCACGTGCATCCAGATGCATCCAACATATTGCTTGGCGATTTGCCGCCATCCGGTCCCTTAGCCTTTTAGATCCTTTTAGTGTTTAGTAGTGGTGGGATTTCCGAATTTAACCCACTAAAAGTTGAACTTTTAGCGGGGGATCTGAGGACAGCCCAGAATCGCATGACTTGGGACTTGCGGTCTCAGATGGTTTTCTCTCGTTCGCTTGGCGTCTAGCCGCGCGCGGTCTTACGAGCACCTCTGTGGAACGCAGCGCTCCGATTCAATTTTCAGGAGAGCTGGGCTGAGGATTCGCTTTGCATACATCTGCAAGAAGCCAAGCAAACAATGCAGACACACACGCACACGCAACTGTGTATTGCATTTATATATACACATATATACATATATATATATATATGCAGATATATTAATATTCACATATCTATATGTCAATGCATATGCACATGTGTTTGAATCATGCAGCTTTTACTCTGATCATGCATCAAGACGGTGGTTGGCTGATGAGCGCGGCCAGTCTTCAGCTGGGTCCCCGTCCTGTGCGTGAGATTCTTTTCGCAGCACTTCTCGGAGGTGCATTTTGTTTGCATGTTAGGACTTTAACTTTTTGCCAACGAATGGGTTTTCTATTAAACCACTAAAAGTTATACTTTTAGCAGGAGAGCAGAAAGCAACTCAGTTCGGATGAGAAACGTTACTCAGTTGCCCAACGCCGTCCTTTTGGCTTGCTCCTTTTGGGCTCATTTTTAGTCAAGGTTTCAAAATGTGATCTCCTGTTATGTCCAGGTCCTTTTTGGGGCAACTGTAAAAAGGCTGAGTTTGACAATTTGAAGATGCGCAAAAAAGAAAGACTAGCTCCGCAGGCAGAAACGTGTTTTGTTTTGTTTCTCAAGAATTAGCGTCAAAATTGGGTCCCTTATACAGATTGGTTTCTCAAAATTGGGTCCCTAAACAGATTGGTTTCCTTTTGGGCTCCATTTTTTCCACCAACGACAAGCGGGGGTCCGGCAGTTCCATGCGCCCGCCCATTTTCCGAGGCAAGTTGGTGGAGAAGGAGGAGATTTTAGGGCGGCTGCGGGTTTCACGAGCCAGACACAGCAACCATATGAGAGTGTCTTTTTTGAGGGTGCCTTGTTTTGGGGTGGTCTAAAAAAGGGAATGAATCGAAAGCCGCAGTTTTTAAATATATGTTTTTCTCCGGGGAAACCATTTTGACACTTGACACTTGACTTTGGCCAATGCTCATTGCAGAAAATTGCTTTTGTTACCTTCATGGCGGGCTCATCAAAGCGAAACCTACAGACCCCCTCACCTCAGCAGTGTTCCGATGGCCCAGATCTGGTTTGCAAAGAGGGCTCTATAACCGCAAAACAGCACCAGCACCACCTAACAACTGAACCAAAAAACCAACTCAGTCCAACAAGCAGTTGTTGGAGGCCGGTTTAAGCTCATTCTGCCCTTTATGACAACTTCCCCCCTTTTCCAAGCTCTTTTGCTGCGCCAGGAGGCCTTGAATCCGCTGCCGCAAGACGAGGAACAGGCGCGTGGGTCGAACAAAATCCCAACATTGCAAATCGATGCTGCGGGTATAAGGCTACAAAAGTTTCATTGAAAATGCAAAAATCAACCGAAGTGCTAAAGTCATGGGAATGACCCATGTTTGCATCAAAGAACTTAGCGGTTCCCAGCCATACCCTCAGCCTTGGGGTTTCCCGACATATCCCACCAAAAGCACTGGGCAAGTCATATTGTTAAGCACTACCCTCGTCACATCTCCCTTCTGGCCACGTTTTTGTTGTTTCGGCACAGGAGCAACGAGCCACCCGGGAAAAAACAACAAAAAAGAGAGAAACACATACCCTCAGCCTTGGGTTTTTCCCACATATCTCACCAAGAGTTGTTTCTTGCACTGGAGCAACGCGCCACCGGAAGAAAATAGCGGACAGGCAAACATAATAAACACACACACACAAAAGGAAAAACAACACCCCCCAAAACAAAATCAAAACAACAAACAAAAACAAAAACGGCTTCGGTGAGGCGGAGCCCGGGGGCTTCTTCGCGCGCATGGAGCGGTCCATGCTGGCGGCGGATGCCGAGCGCGTGGTGGCGAAAGGTGAGATGAGCGAGCTGGAGACGCAGGTGCTCCATCCCTTTCTTCAGTTGACAGGGGGATCAGGAAACGGATAAATAGATAAATATTCTAACTACATATATATATACTTTAGAGCCTCCGGCTCAGTCCGCCGACAGTGTCCTCTCCCTTTTCTCCTTCTTCCTCTCTTCCTTGTCTCCCTTGTGTGTTCTGTCGTCCTCTCTCCCTCTCTCGGCTCCCATCCTCCCCATCCCCCCAAGCCTCTCTCTCCCCAATCTCCCTCTCTCGTATGTATGCATGCATGTACATAAGTATGTATGTATGCATGCATGTATGTATGTATGTATGTATGTATGTATGTATGTATGTATGTATGTAGTGTAAGCAAGTAAGTAAGTAAGTCAGTACGTAAGTAATGTATGTATGTATGTAATGTATGTAATGTAATGTAATGTAAT